GTGCAGGTGAAGATGATTGGCCATCACGAGAAACAGCACTTTTGTACGCTCTCGCTTCTCCGAGTTCATGGTAAAGATGCTAAGGAGACGTTGAAGGAGGAAATGGAACGATTACAAGCTGAAGTGCAGGAGGTAGAGTCTTTGCTCAGTGATAATGAAGCCGACGAGGAGGTTGAAGAGGACGCGACGGTGGATGTGAGTGTCGGCGAACACGAGACAAAGAATGTCTCACAGACTGCAGACGAGACACGAGGAGGCAATGGAACGGATGCAGACGGGCGTGGGTACAAGATATCTGCGTCGCGAGCGAATATGAACGCCACCGGCGATGGGACACAACGTGAAGCATCTCTCAAAGAGATTCCTGTCGATGACACGGCGTCGGTGAACGCGTCGTCGGCAGAGGCTAATGGCACAGATACGGGTGCCGCGGTTTCAAACGTCACCGTACCCTCTACGGTGAACGTGACGAACGCTACGACTGTCGCGACATCGAAGCCGAATATTCCTTCCACGAGCGAGTTGGCGAAAGGCGGCGGTGGCGGAGATGCGAACGTTTTCAGATTATTGGCGCAAAAGATGAAAGACTTAGAGCTCAATCAGAGTCTATTATCCCGATACGTTGAGTCTTTGAACGCTCGCTACGGAGAAACACTCGCCGACTTCAGTCGAGAAATCGATGCCATCGAAGAATCCGTCGCCAATTCCACGGAGGATCTTGACGAAGCAACGCGGCGATCGAAAGCGAGTTCGAAGACGTGCGACGAAGCCGTCGCGCGCGTGAGCGAAACCTCTGAAAAGATTGTCGCCGCAGCGGTGAACGAGCTCAACGCGTATCGACGTGCGGTGATAACGCGCGACACTGTACTTGCACTGGCGCTGGCGCTCACCGCCGGAGCGCTCGTCGCGTCGAAACGGTCCTCGGGTATCATGGAGCGTTTCCTGAGCGCATGCTCCTCGTTCGCTTTGCTTGTCATAGTTGTCGCTAACATCGTTCTTATCGTGCAGAATTGGCTGAGAGAGAGCGCTATATTGTAAATCTACTTCATGTATCATGTTGTTACGCCGACTACAGTACCGATATTACACAGTTAATCTGCCGACTCCTTGGCCGGCTTCTTCGGTGGATTACCGCCGTCGATGAAGAGGTTCTTCGCGTAAAACGCAAGCATGATCGCGCTGCTGATCGCCAAGATCCCGCTTGGGAACATGGCGTGCGAGACGAGGAACTTCTTCCACATGACGTAGGCCAAAACGCCCGTGACGGCGGCGCTCGAAGCCGTCCACGGGAAGCTCGCCGCGCCCGTTGACCACGCCCGTAAGCTCGCCGCGCCTGTGGCGATGAGGGCGCCGCCGATGACTACACCTGATATCAAGCTCGGCATCGATCGTCGCATGACGTATCCCGCGACGCCAAACAGGGCTACCATTCCACCGAACGGGAACGTCAGACAGAAGTCGTGCGACGGAACGCACATCCCGTGCATGTCGTGCGCGCGAAAGATATCGCCGTTGTCGAGCGACGCCGCGCTTGAGACGACGCGAACGCGTGTTTCACTCGCGACTTTCGACGCTGCGGTCGATGGAGACGACGAGAACGCGCTCGACGAGCTTCGGTTGATTGCTTCGATTGATCGAACGGCCGCTCGCCCTCGTCGAGCTCTGGGGTCGGTCGAGCGAGCTTGGAAGTTGGAGTGCGCGAGGGAACGTACGCCGAAGACCGAGCGTGTTATCATTCACCGTACGCGCGTCGGTCCGCGTCGAGAGGTGACGAGTGTTCCTGAGAACGAGCTAGCGCTCTGTACCCAAGACGTGTGCGTATTAATACAAATTCAAATCCCGAGCTCTTCTACGCTGCTAACGCGTCACCTTTGATGCGGCGATCTCCGCCTTCTCCTTCTCATCCTCGAGCGCGAGTGACTCGAAGTACTTGTCGTACCAATCCGACGCGACCTCGATTTGGTCTAACTCGGCGTACAGATCGGCAATCGTGCCGTACGCATCCGTTGCGACGGAAGTATCACCGTGTTCGGTGCTCAACGCCAACACCTTCTTCATATGCGTCAATGCTTGTTCGTACTCACCCAAACGCGAAGCCGCCGCGCCCAAACCACGCTCTGCCTTGCGGACCGCTTTCCACGGCTCCTTCAGAGCGCTTTGGTTGTTCTCGATGAGCGCGAGCGCCTTTGTGAATGTCGCCTTCGCCTCGTCCGCCGCTTGCGCCTTGAGCTTGGACTTTCCACTCTTGAGCAGCGAGATTATCTCAACGACGACTTCGCTCGAGCCGTCGTCGGTGGAGTCCATGGGCGTCGCCACCTTGCGACCTTGGCTTGAGCGAAGCTCTTTACGCACCTCCTTGTTCACCTTTAGCAGCGTCGCGTTCAGTCGCTCGATCTCCTTCGCTCGCTTTCGAGCGGTGAAGCCAGATACGGTGGACCCTATGAAGCCGATCGTCTGGCCGACGACCAAGGCGTAGATCAAGTCCTTGTGATCGACCTCTAATCCCGCAAAGGTTACGTTGAAGTCTTCGCTAAAGATTTCATCCGGCTCCGTGAGCTCCTTCGGCAGCGTAGGCTGCGCCGCGCGCGCCTCTCTCGCCCCACCCAACGACGCGAGCGAGGTGAACATCCCCATCGATAACATCGCTCGTCGGTTTCGCCCCGTCTCCGTCGCTCCGTCCGTCTCCGTCATCGCCGAGCATCGCCCAGGTCGTCCGTGTCGAGCCGTGGTTCTCGGACGTCGTCCTCGCGCGTTTCGCCTCGATCGATCGACGTCGTCGCTCGATCGCGCGCTCGCGCGTGAAACCAACGCCTCGGTCGTCATCTCGAGCGTTCGCGCGCGCGCACGCTCGGCACGCGGTGCGATGCGCCGTCGATCGTTCCGCCGTACCGACCATCGCGTTATCTTTCCAGATCGCCCTCTCGCACACGTCGCGCGTTTTGGCGGTGTGTGACTCATGGTGGAGTCTATGAGTGCGCACTCAAGAAGGTGTCCCTCGTGTGTTCAAAACGCACGCTCGACAGCTCGTCGTTCGTGGGCGCGTCGGCGTCGGCGGCGACGGCGACGCGGCGCGGCGCGACCGACGCGCGATGGCGTCCGCGCTCGAGCGACATTCGGCGAGTCGATTGGCGTCGTGTCCGGTGTGTAACAAATCCACGCACGTCGTCCTCATACACGCGCACGTCGAGCGTTGCTTGGAACAGAAGCGACACGTGCACGGCGAAGCGAGCGTCGCGCGCGACGCTCGACCGGGAAACGTGCGCGGAGACGGCGTGGAAGATGACGTGCGCTCGACCGAGGGCGCGAGGCCGAGCGAAGACGATGGAGCTCAGAGACGAGTGAGCTCGGAGAATCGGTTTGAGTCGGCGGGACGGGCGCGCGCGCCGGCGCTCGGCGCCGGCGGCTTCGTACGCAAGCTCGCGGCGGCGAAACGCGCGAGGGCGCATTCGCCGACGGCGAATGCTCGAGACGGGCTCGGAGATTTTAAGCGACGGGCGCTCACGGACACGACGAACAGGAGTATAGTGAGCGCGGCGAAGACGCTGCTCGTGGACGCCGCGACGCAGACACACGCGTCGATGCAGACGGAAATCGGGCCGACGAGTGGGTACGTTGAGGATGACGACGTTGATGTTGACAAAGTAGTCGAAGACGTCGAGGGCGGAGCGCCGTCTTCCGTGACGTTTGAGCTCCGCGTCATGAGCGGGAACCACGACGAGTGCGGTATTTGTCTCACACCGTTTGACGACGCCGAGGGCGTCACTCGACACATGTTTTATCCGTGTCAACACGTCAGACAGTGCGGTGAGTGCGCGCTGAGGGTATGGCAGGTACCAAAGGCCAAACGTAGGTGTCCTTGGTGCAAATCCAAAATAGAAATTCGGCCGCGCGCGTTCAAGCCGTTCCTGTGACTCGCTAGAGATCAACAAAGTTGACGACTATTGTAGCTAGATGACTAGATTTAGGGAGTTAATGCTCACGTGCGATCTCGCGGCCAGAGCATGGCGATGAGAACGCCCACCAGGACGACAGTCGCGCCAATGTAATCGCCCGCGTCCAGCTTGAAGCCGTCGACTACGGCGCCCCACGCGTAGCTCAACGCAATGAAAAACCCTCCGTACACCGCCATTATCCTACCGAAGTCGTCCATCGGCATCAACAAAAACACCGAACCGTACGCACACAACGATACGGCGCCCAAAACGGCCCAAGCCTTGTGCGTGTTCGGTTCGGCTCGAAAACTCTTCCAAAAGCCGTAACAACCTCCAATTTCGAGGAAACCGGCGAGAACGAAGAGCGCGACGACGATGACGACGCGACGAGCGGTCCACTCGCCGCTCATGACTCGTGTGATTTCCACGTATTCGCGCACGCGGATTCTCTGCTCATCTCACGCGTCGCCGTCTGGTGCCGTCCGAGCAGGGAAAGAACTACAGTTGAATGTCTTGGCTACAACACAAGTCGCTACGCGCGCGTGGCCTTGAGAAGAGATTCTCCGCTAGTGTCGCTTTCGGCGACGAGCACGTGTTCGCGAACGTACGCGACGTCCGCGGCGACGTCGTCGCTCGAGACGCACGAGTCCGGACAGGTGAATACGCAGACGGTGTGCCAATCCCACGCCAAAAGCTCGTCCTCGTTCGCCAGACGCGTTCGATCGCCCTTGTGCATCGTGAGCGCCTCCTCGACGTCGGTCACCATTGCTGGTGTGAGTTGAAGCTCACACACGCGATGTGCGCCGCACGCATCGCACTTTGTTGGCTTTGGCCGCGTCGCAGTCGGCCAAATAAATTTCATACCGCCCGCGTTATAACGCATGCATTGCTCCGGCGCGCGCCGTAAGCGTTCGCTAAATTTCATGTAGGCGTCATCCACGTATGTCGCCTCACCTTTCTCATACGATTCGCCCGCCCACTCGCTGTCCTCATCGCCTTTCGTTAAGATGTCGCTCACGGAGACGCCTTCTCGATTGGCGTACTCTGTCAAGAGCGACTCCGCGTGCGCCGTCTCCTTCGCCGAGAGCGCGCTCGTGCACGACGGCTCGGCGTCTGCGATGATGTAATACTCCGCAAATTGCTTGTCGCACGATGCGTCGTACGCCGCTCGCAAAGACTGCGCCGCGCACGGTCCCTCGGCGATTTCGTCGTCGTCGTCGTCGACTCGCGCCTCTGCGTTCGCCTCCTTCTCAGTCGTCGCGCTCGACGACGTCGCTAATAACATCGCGTCAAGCTCTGCGCTCAATGCATCGGTGTCTCCACCGCCGTCGCACCACGAGCTCGACTCTGGGTCGTCCCACGAGTCCTCCATCGCCGGCGCGCGTTCGACCACGCCGCCGCCGGCCGCGCGCCTCTCCTCCTCACCCCCCACTCCCACGTCTTCGCTCGCGTCACCGCCGCGCGTCGTATTCGCATCATCCACACCTATCGTCTTCTGCGCTCGCACGCACGCCCACGCGGCGTTTCCTCGACATCCGCGCGCGCACGCGTAGACGTACAACGCGCGCGTCCGCGCGTTCGCCCGCGGCGCGTACGTTTGCGTCACCAGCGTCATCGTTCGTCCACACGACCCGCACGCCACCGCGCACAGGCGCCTCGTCGCTTCCGCGACGTCATCGTTCGCCCCGTCATCGCCCGCGCGCTCGACCACGGGCACCGGCGCGCCGCCCACTTTGTGCACGTCGACCGCCGAGCGCGTGCGCGCGCGCTCTCGCTGCGTCGTCATGCGTCCGGCGAAGCCCAGGACGACGGCGTCGAGCTCGCGCGCGTGGGCATCGACCCCGTCGTCGTCGTCGTCCTCGTCCGGCGCCGCGTCGTCGTCTCTCCGCATCGCGCGGGCGTCGAGTGCGGCGCCGCCGCGAATGCGACGCATCGTCCGCAGTCGGCGACGGGCGACCGCGCGAGCGATGCCGCGGGCGCTGCGTTCAACGGTGTCGTGGACGACCGCGGTCGCTCGGCGCGCGATCGCTCGGCGACGGGCGAGCGGGCGCGCGGCGTCGACGGCGACGACGCGCGAGGCCCAACGCGTGCTCGTGCTCACGGGACCGACGGGGGTGGGAAAGTCGTCGGTGGCGATCGAGATCGCGTCGAGGGCGACGCGCGGACGGTTTGAAATCGTGTCGTGCGATTCGGTGCAGATATATAAGGGCTTGGACGTGGGCTCGGGGAAGGTGACGAGGGAACAACGCGGGCGAGCGACGCATCACATGTTGGACGAGCGAGACGCGAGAGTCGAGAGCGAGGAGTACGATGCCGCGGCGTATTACGACGATTGCGTGCGAACGCTGCGAGAGATTCGCGACAGAGGGAACGTCGCGATCGTCGTCGGGGGGGCGGGGATGTATCTGAAGTGGCTCACGGATGGGAAGCCCACGGCGCCGGCGTCGACGAGCGAAACGCGCGAGCGAGCCGCGCGAGAGATCGGCGAGGCGCGAGAACGCGGAGGTTGGCGCGCCGCGTGCGACGCACTTGTGGGTTTGGGTGATGAAGACACCGCGAGAGGACTGAGCGAGAACGATTGGTATCGTTTGACGCGCGCGTATGAAATTCTTCTGGCGAGTGGGCGAACGGTGTCATCGTATGACCGCGCATCGCCCGACGAGCGTTTCGATTTTAGATGTTTCTTTCTCTCGGCGCCGAGAGTGGAGCTGTATCGTAAAATCGATGAGAGGGTAGAAAATATGATATTAAACGGGATCATGGACGAAGCGGCGTGGTTATTAGACGCTGGAATCGCACCCGGTGGGAACGTTGCCGCGAGGGCCATCGGTTACCGCCAAGCGATGGAGTACTTAGCAAAGGCGCGGGCGAAGGATATAGACGTGAGCGCGGACACGCTGTTGGAACTCCTGAAAGAGATTCAAGGCCTCAATCGCGCGTACGCAAAAAGGCAATTTACATGGTTCCGGGGCGAATCAAAGTACTTGTGGATCGACGCTTCGAGCTCGTGCGAAGACATCGCTCGTCGCGTGTTGACCGAGTTCGAGTGCGATGAGCACCACGCGGGGGGCGAGCAAATGGCGGACGTCTCGAAAGAAGAACTCGAAGTGCTGAAGCGATACAGGCCGCATTTGTCTGTTCTGAGCGATGCGAGCGCCATGGAGCGCGTGTTAGATAGAATTAGAGCGCTAATTTAGTCAGTCCTCTTGCTCAACGCTGATGTCGCCTTCGCCTTCTCTGTCCGACTCATCGACGATGTCTCTCCCTTTCGTCTTTGATCCTTTTTCCTCTTGTATCTCGTCGCCCCCTTCGTCTTCGACCGGTTCAACCGGCTCGAACGCCTCCTGCTCGGGCTGTTCTTCCGCGTGCTCAGATTCGTCGTTCGCGTCCATCGTGAGAGGCGCCTCGACGATTTCCTCGGGCGTCTCCTTCTCGACTTCGGCGCATGGTGTGGTCACATCGGCCACGGCAGTATCTATGACGCAATCTGCCGTGTCCGGTGCATTTCTCTTTGCCGATTCGCGGAGTATTCCATCCTTCAGGTCCACGAACGCCCGCGCGTGCTCCAAGCTCTCCTCTGGGTGCGAGCTCGCGAGATACTCCAAGATGTACGTCGCCGGCGAGCTCGGTCGCGTCTTGAAACATCCCGTCATCATGTCTCGGAACAAATCGTCCACCTTGCTCTCGCGCGCGTACGCCTCGAGCTCCTCGATCATCGTCGTCGTCGTCGCGTCGTCCTGTGCGGCTCGTCGGACTAAAAATACCGCCCTCGGCTGGGGAGACGAACCGGCACGCGGTCAAAGCGATCGTTGTATGCGCGCCCGCACTTCGCGACGACCGCATGACGGCGTCGAGCGACGACGCGACCGTGGAACAAGAGGACGAAGAGGACGAGGATGCACGCTTGCGCTTCATCCTTCGACTCGCCGGGACGTGCCGCGACGGCGGCGAGGGCGACGTCCACGGTTTCGCCTCTGGGTCTAGACGAGCGGTGCTGGAGTTTCTCGATAAAGGTCGCGACGAAGTGCTCGTGCTTAAATTTCGAGAGCGCGTCATCGACGAGGTGAAGCCTTCAAAAGCGCTCACGGATACAACGAACGCGTGCGAACCGATGAGAGACGTCGGAGGAGGGAGACAGAACGACTCAATGCGCGGGACGCTCGAGCTCGTCGCGGGCGCAAGCGATGGTCAAGAACCCGTGTTGTTCCTCGTGCGACCAGATTCTCTGCACGACACGACTTCAATCGATTTAGAAGCGCTATCGAACGCGATGTATGGGTTTTACCCTCACGGCGCGTCTTTGGGTGAGCTTCACGCGACTTTGAGGTATTCCTTCCTCTCTGCAATCGAATCGAGCGAGGCCGCCGAGAGTCGATCCTTTGCAAAACACATTCGCGAGTTCATCGATCGGGTATCCGTTAGCCCGACCACACTTCGAGAGCGAAATTCGTTTAGCTTCAGTGTCGGCGCTAACGGTCAACGTGCACTCGCAGAAGTCGATCCTGAGACAGCGAGTGATGATGACAATTTTGTGCGACAGGTGGAAGCAGCATTGGCTGAGTGGTGTGAAGTCATGTCAGCAGCGAAGGCGCGCAACGAACACGATCCAGGAGTAAAGGGAGATAGTGTACACGAAGGGCCTCTCGTGGAGATTCGTCTCTGGCGCGCTCGCAACAACGATCTATCCGGCTTGATCAAGCAGCTCGAAGACCCAGGAATGCAAGTCGTCTTGGACGTGTTGCATAGATTCGCCACCAAACGCCCCGACTCGTCCGATGATTTCACTTCTCGAGTCTGCGGGGTTCTGGAATCATTTCAATCGTTGCGCGGTGAACTTATGCATTTGCACAACGTAAGCTCGGATAACATAAAGTTCCTGTCAACTCTCGAGAAGCATTTTCATGTGCTTAGCTACGGATGTCTGCGAGACGTGCTTCGAACTATCGCATCGACAGTTCGGGCGCTACGATTGGTCTGGGTGATTTCACACCACTATAATGATGATTCACGCATGGGGACGCTGCTTGCGAGGCTCTCCGATGCGCTCGTCCATCGCGTTCGTGGATGTGTGTGCTATCAAGAGCTCTTTACAAAGGTGTCCGGCGGAGAGGACTTGTGTGAGGTGCTTCGAGACGTGACGCTTGCGCAGATGATAATGAGCTCATGGAAAGAAGAATACTCAAAAACCCGAGAAGAGATTGAGCGATCAAACAGAGATTCGAGGTGGGAGTTTGATCGGGACCGTTTGTTTTCAAAATCAGATTATGTCGCGGGCGTGAGCAAACACTTGGGTGAAATGATTGTGGTCATCAACGATTTTCGCAATTTTCTAAGTCCTCGATTGAAAAAGCTGACGTTAGACGCCGACGGTGTGAATGACATCTCTGCGAGAGTTGATGCACTTTGCCTGAGCATCAAGATGTCTCAAGTGGATATATTTGATGTGTCGCAAGCGGAGAGTTGGAAGTCCATGCACAAATCGTTCATAATGGAGAAGACTCGAATCGAACGCGTGTTGTGCAACTTTATCGATGCATGTTTCAAACGCTTACGCAGCAGTTCAGACGCGTTGGAGCTAGTGAAGGAGCTGAAGAAGACAATGAACTCACAAACTAGCGAATCATCGCCAACGGGATCGACTCGTAAGATGCTCAACAACCAAATCATTGGTAAAATGCAAGATGTTTTAGAGCAGTTTTCGAGAGAGATCGATTCGGCGAGGCATACGTTTAACACAAATCGCCGCTCTCCTCCGCTAAATCGGGACCAACCGCCTGTAAGCGGCTCAGTGCACTGGGCGCGGGCGCTGTTTTTCAAACTTCGATGCACGATGCGACTATTTTCGGAGTGCGTGGCGGATCAGCAATCGATTCGAAATACTCCGGTATCGCAAGAAGTAAACGCCAAATTCCTCGCTTTGGCAAAATTAATGCTCAAATATGAGAAGCAGCGCGCAAAGACGTGGAATGATGAGATCAAAACGACTTTGTCCTCCAGCTTGACGCAGCCCATTTTGCGCAAGGACGCGACTGGAGAACTGGTCATTAATTTTCGACCCGAGCTGATCACGTTAATCAAAGAAACGCGCGGTTTAGAGCGTCTGGGATTTGTTATTCCAGCAGAAGCGCGCGGTGTGGAACTTCAAAGCGAAAAGTATGGCGTTTACCGGGGTATACTTGGTAAAATGCTCTCTCGTCGACGAGACGTATTGGATTCTCTTTCGTCACTCGAGACGCAAATTTTCCACACACGCATCGAGGCTTTGGATGGCGCATCACTGCAGCGCGGTACGAGGACATGCAACTGGAACTCGTTGAGCGTCCCTGATTTTGTTGCGGCGTACACGAAGGAATTGGATGAGTTTGCAGCGATGCTCAGCGCGATGCGAGCAACCGATTGTGACATTGAAAGAGCGGTCGGTCGCATTTCTGGGGCTTCTTTCTTCGACATTACAAAAATAATCGATTCAGACAGACAAATTACAAGTGGCGACTTCTTCGCACGGCTCGCCACGCAATGCAACGTAGTTTCCTCTAACATCAGAGATGAATATTTGGGAATCATGCGATTGTTGTTGAAAGTTGAGGAGATTGTCCATGGCTCGAGCACGGGTAAAGTGGTGCATCTCAAGGAATACTACGCGCGCTGGGAAAACGCGATATACGAAGCCCTAATCTTGGCTACCGAGCGAGCCATCGCTGACATGGAAGAGCAATTCAACAAGTCGGCGATCTACGATTATGCAATCTTTAAGTTGGACATTTGCTTACGTGCGGGGGAAATTGTGTGCGACCCGCCGCTGAAGGAATTGTCACGTTCTATCATGCACGCGGCAAAGTCTATCGCTCGCAGCGTTTCCGTTCTCGGTCGCTGGATGGATGGCACGTGCTTGGAAGTTCCAGAGCAGAAAGTCGCCTCGAGTTCGGATGTGAGCTTGTCGGCACTCCTCGCTATGGAAATTGGCGATGGCATGAATACACTGGCACGAACGTTCAACTTCGGTAACGAAATTTTAGAGAATGAGCGCGTGCATGATGCGCTTATGTCACTTAGCAATACCACAAATATTTGTGTGGGTGAAATTCGCCGACACATGGAGATTTGGAAACGTCATCAAGCAGTTTGGAAGGCTGATCAGCAGAGCGTCATTCACGAGCATGTCAAAGACATGAGTGCGCTGAGGCTTCAGCGCACCTTCCTACAGTATGAGGATACGATTCGGGCGATGGAGGAGGAGAGCTGTATTAGCGTGGGTTCCGTACACGTGAGCGCGAAAAATCTTGCAGATGTCGTGAAAGATATGAGCGTGCGGTGGATAGAGGAAATTGGTGCAGCGACGTACAATGTAGACGTCGAGCTGATGAACAATGTTTACGATCGTCTAGATGCGATCATGAAGATATTTTCAACAAACCCAGTCGGCTTCAAGGAGGTGAAATCGTTGTTGGAGGCAATACGAGACGTGCGCGAAGATACGCAAACCGAATTTTTCGCGAGCTGTGTCATTCGCCGTTTCATCGTGAGGACGAAGCACAAAATTGAACAAGATCCGTCAAACCAATATCGTGCGATGATGATGATCCCGACGTTTTCGAAACTACGTGAGCGCGCTACCAGTGTTTGCGATGAAGCGTGTGCACAAGTTTCAGAGTGCAAGATAGAACTGAGGAAGATGGTACGGGAATTTCAGGAAGGTGGAAACGATTTCGCAAAACGACTGAGAAGTCAGGGACCAACTTCGGCCGATCTTCTCGTCAACATCGACGCAGGATTCATCATTTTCGAATCCTTTCGAGAAGAACTTCTTAGGACGGAGAGCGTCATGGATGGCATTCGAGACAGCGAGCGCGTCTTTGGTGTGGAGAGTGCAGTGTTTGAATCGCTTGAGCTCGCACGCATCGACCTGGAATCCATGGCGAAGATTTACGAGTGTCGACGAGCGTATCAGCATCAGTTGCAGCAAATTCAAGATGTACGGATCACAGATATCGTGACCTCTAACGTACAATCGAGTGTGGTAAATGTTGGCAGGAAATTGCTGACAAAACTTCCAGAAGCTCTACAATCTCATCGTCTTTTGCTCGCCGTACAAGACGAAATCAGTAATATCGAGGTCGACTTGAATCTTATTGAGGACTTGAAGTTTGACGGGTTTCGTCCTAGACACTGGATTAATGTTTTTCGTGTCGTTGGATTTGAGGACGAAACCGCTGAACCTGCGCAATTCACGATGCAAACTCTTCTTCGAATGAAACTACATTCGCACGCGCAAAAAATCATGGACATCACCGCTGCGGCGGAGAAGGAGCTGAAAATAGAGAACGATTTGAATGCCATAGATAAGTCGTGGCGAGAAATGCGATTCGATCTGAAACCGTATTCAAAGGGGAAGAGTAAGAAACACTCGCAACCGACGCACGTGCTGTGCGCTGTTGAAGAAATATCGCTCGCGTTGGAGGACACCGGTTTGACTCTCCAGAGTATGTCTGCAAGCCGACACTCCGATCCGCTCATCGATGTTGTCCGCGAGTGGGAAGCTACACTTGCTTTAGTCGGCAACGTTTTACAAGTATGGACAGATACGCAACAGCGCTGGATGTACTTATTGAGCATTTTTGGTGGTTCGGATGATATTCGCATGCAGCTCCCTGAAGAGGCGGATCATTTCGATGACGTGGACACTAAATTTCGAAAATTGATGTCTGAAACGGTGAAGACGAAGTTCATACTGGATATATGCAGAGCAGAAGGGCGGCTCGAACTACTCAAGGACTTACGCGCCGAACTTGAAGTTTGCCAGAAGAGCTTAAGCCAGTATTTGGATACAAAGAGAGATGCCTTTCCGAGGTTCTTCTTCATCTCAGACGAAGAGCTACTCTCAATCCTAGGAGCTGTAGATCCGACTTCGATCCAAGAACACATGTTAAAGTTGTTCGATAACTGTGCAAACTTGTCGTTCAGTTCAGATAAGTCATCTATAGTCGGTATGAGTTCGGCTGAGGGAGAGTCGTTCAAGTTCAAATCGCCGGTGAAAATCCAGGGACCAGTGGAGGATTGGATGTCGGCGGTGGAGGAGGAAATGCGAGCGACGCTGCGCGCTCTTTGCAAGTACGGCGTCGCGCGATATATGACTTGTGAGCGTGAAGATTGGATCAAAGAGCAACTCGGAATGATCACGCTCGTCGGATCGCAGATTTGGTGGACATGGGAGGTGCAAAGTGTCTTCAAGGCGATTAGCGCTGGCGACAAACTTGCGATGAAGAAATACAGCGATAAATTGTCGTCTCAGCTTCACATTCTCACGAAAATGGTACGCGGCGAACTGAGTTCGAACGAACGGAAAAAAGTGAACACACTCATTATCATTGACGTGCATGCTAGAGATATTGTCGACTCGTTTCTGCGAGATTCAATTCTAGACGAAGCAGACTTTGCTTGGGAGTCGCAGTTACGATTCAAGTGGGACAAATCACGCGATGACATCGTCATCAATCAGTGCAGTGGCGAATTCAAGTACGGCTATGAGTACATGGGCCTGAACGGGCGTCTCGTCATCACCGGCTTGACAGATCGATGTTACATCACTCTAACAACGGCGCTCACGTACCGTCTTGGTGGCGCTCCGAGCGGGCCCGCAGGGACGGGCAAAACGGAGACCACCAAAGACCTGGCCAAGTCCATGGCGCTACTTTGCGTCGTCTTCAACTGTGGCGAGGGTCTCGATTACAAGGCCATGGGCGCAATCTTTAGCGGCCTCGTTCAGTGCGGCGCTTGGGGTTGCTTTGACGAATTCAATCGCATCGAGGCTGAAGTACTGTCAGTCGTTTCATCTCAAATTAAGCAGATTCAAGAAGCCTTGAAACATAATCTTACTCGATTCCACTTCGAAGGCAAAGAAATTAAATGTGATTCACGTACAGGCGTATTTATCACAATGAACCCAGGTTATGCCGGCCGAACCGAACTCCCGGATAATTTGAAGGCTCTCTTCCGTCCCGTGACGATGATTGTTCCAGATTTAGAGCAGATTTGTGAAATCATGCTGTTTAGTGAGGGTTTCAACGCGGCGAAGACGCTCGCGAAAAAGATGACCATGTTGTACCGGCTCGCGAAAGAACAACTCAGCAAGCGGTCACACTACGACTTCGGTCTAAGAGCCCTTAAATCGGTTCTCGTGATGGCTGGAGGCTTGAAACGCGATTCCCCAGAACTCAGCGAGGAAGTAGTCCTCATGCGAGCGCTACGAGACATGAACTTACCAAAGTTCGTCTTCGACGACGTTCCTCTGTTCTTGGGGCTCATAAACGATCTTTTCCCCGGAATCTCGTGCCCCCGAGTCCGTTACCCGACTCTTAATGATGTCATTGAGCGTGATTTGGCAGAGCGCGGCTATCAGGTCATGACAGGTCCCGGAGAGCAGGTGGACAAAATAATACAACTGTACGAAACAATGCTCACGAGGCATACGACCATGCTCGTTGGTGAAACCGGTGGCGGTAAATCGGTTATATTAGAAACCATCGCTCGAGCGCAAACCACGATCGGCAGAAATACAAAGTTGCACATTCTGAATCCCAAGGCGCAAACGGTTTCCGAGTTATACGGCGAGTTGGATCCAGACACTAGAGATTGGACGAACGGACTCCTTTCGAACATATTCCGTGACTGCAACAAACCCCTCGCAAATGGACGAGAGAATGATTTGAAATACATCGTGTTCGACGGTGACGTCGATGCAGTTTGGGTTGAGAACATGAATAGCGTCATGGATGATAATCGATTACTCACGTTACCTAACGGTGAACGCATTCGTCTTCAGGATCATTGCAAACTTCTATTTGAAGTCGCAGATTTGAAGTACGCGTCACCGGCGACAGTCAGCCGATGTGGAATGGTTTACGTGGACCCGAAAAATCTAGGATACAAACCTTTTCTCAAGACATGGACGGCGAGTGTGAACACACGGCACCGCGAGCCGCTTACATGCATGTTTGAGAAATACATGGATAAAATGACAGCTTTTTGCTATGAGGGAGCAGATTTGGATGGAAGTGTCACTGCCCTGATCAAGACATCCATAAACCGTCCGGTAATCTCGGTGATCAAGCAGTTTTGCATTCTGTTAGGGAACTTTCTTGATGTCATTGACTCACAATTAAACGACGAGGACGTGAGCGTGGCCGAAACATACTCTTCTACCCTGGAATCGGCTTTCATTTTCTGTTTAGTTTGGTCTTTTGGAGCTACCGTGGTAGAAACAGCAGGGAAATCAGACCGCGCTCGATTCGATGACTTTGTCAGACGACTCGCAGACGTGGGTGATACGTTGCCTCGAGAGGAGACGTTGTACGATTACGGCTTCAACATTGAACAGAATGCGTGGTACGATTGGAAAAGCCTCACGACGCCTCTCACCTTGCAGCCAAACACGGCGTTCTCCTCGATATTAGTCTCTACGGCCCATACGGCGAGGACGAACTGGCTCATGGACGTCATGTGCTCTTGCAACGCCAACACGCTCCTCACCGGCGACAGCGGTACCAGCAAAACAGTGGTGGTGAAAAACTACTTGCAAGAACGCTTGAAGGACGGCAAGACGAACACGTTGACGATCAACTTTAGTTCACGCACAACCGCAAACGATGTTCATAGTTCGATAATGGATTCAGTTGAGAAGCGCACCAAGGACACGGTAGGTCCCCCCCTAGGCAAGCGGCTCTTGTGCTTCATTGATGACTTGAACATGCCTGCCGTAGACAAGTACGGCACGCAGCAACCGATCGCACTGCTCAAGCTCATGCTCGATCGTGGCGGCACGTATGATCGCGGAAGAGACTTGAACTGGCTTCATATGAAAGATATTCAGTACATAGCGGCGATGGGGCATCCCGGTGGCGCACGAAGCGACGTGGATGCTCGTTTCGTATCCATGTTTCAAGTATTTGAGATGCAGACACCCGACGAGAGTAACCTGAAGATCATCTACGGCTCAATAATCGAAAACACTTCAAAGACGTTAGACATACGTCGAGACACGCGGGAGCTCATAGTGAACATGACTTTGGATCTATACAAGAGTGTCATCTCAAAACTATTGCCCACGCCGAGTCGATTCCATTACGTATTCAATCTCAGAGATCTGAGCCGATTGTTCGAAGGAATGTCAAAAGCGACGCCATCAACGATTCGGAATGCAAATGAACTTTTAAGACTCTGGCGAAACGAGGCGACTCGCGTGTTTCACGACCGACTGATCTCTGACGAAGATCGGTCCTTCGTGCACAGCAAGATATCGTCGCTGATTCATCACAGTTGCACAGATGAGTACGAGTCCGTCTCAGCGAACCCGATTCTGTTCGCAGATTACGCTCCTGAGTGTACAAACTCCGACGTGGACGAATTTGGCAACGATGAGATGGGCGAAAATATTTCAAAGGAGCGTGTGCGCGTATACCAAGACGTTGGCGATTATGCGAAGGTCAAACCATGGTTCGAAGAGCTGGTCAGTGTACACAACGGTAAATTGAAAGACGGTTCGGCACCGACAGAATTGGTGCTTTTCGACCATGCATTAGAACATCTCACGCGTATTCATCGCGTTCTACGCACTGAAAATGGTCATGCGCTGTTGGTTGGAGTCGGTGGTAGTGGCAAACAATCGCTCGCACGTCTTGCCGCTGAAATGGCTCACTGCGAAGTGTTTGAAATTACGCTTACGCGCGGTTACGACGACGAAACGTTTCGCGATGACCTAAAAAAGCTTTACAACACTCTCGGCGTGCAGAATAAAGCAACGATGTTCCTGTTCACAGATAATCACGTCGTCGAAGAAGGCTTTTTGGAATTGATCAATAACATGCTCACAACCGGTATAGTTCCAGCGCTGTTCGCAGACGAAGAAAAAGATGCTCTAGTGAACGCGATCCGAGAAGACCTACATGCTAACAAGGTACCAGTCACTCGTGACGAAGGATGGAGATTTTTCATCTCGCGTTGTCGCGCGAACCTGCACATCGTTCTCGCAATGTCTCCCGTGGGTGATATGCTGCGGCATCGCTGCAGGAACTTTCCTGGTCTAGTCAATAACACCGTCATCGATTGGTTCACAGAGTGGCCGAAGGAAGCTTTGTTGGAAGTCAGCAACTCGTTACTCTCGACCGTCAGTTTGCCCGAAGAGTTCAAGGAGAAAATCGACTCACACATTGTCTACACTCATTGCGCCGCCATAGCGCTGAACGAAAAGTTCAAGTCTCGACTGGACAGGCACAATTATGTCACGCCAAAACACTACTTGGACTTCATTGCGTCGTACAAAACGGCACTGAATGAACAACGCACGTCGATCGATAACTCAATCAAACGTCTCAGTGGAGGTCTCGAAAAGTTGATACAAGCGAGTGCAGAGGTGGACGTGATGCGAACAAAATTGAACGACGCGCAAGTTGTGGTGACTCAGCAAGCGACAGAGTGTGATGCGCTGCTCGAGCGCATCACCACGCGCACGGCTGAAGTTGAGACAAAAGCAGAAAATGCATCGAATAAAGAAGAGGAACTGATAAAAGACTCGGAACGAATCGCAAAGGAGAAAACAGAGGCTGAGGCTGATTTAGAAGCAGCGATTCCCGCGCTTGAAGAAGCAGCCGCTGCGTTGAATAATCTCAAGAAGGACGAGATTACGGAAATTCGATCATTCGCGAAGCCGAACATTGTGGTTCAGCGTGTATGTGAGTGCGTGATGATTTTAAAAGGTTTACCCAACGTTTCATGGTCTGGCGCGAAGGGGATGATGGCGGATACAAACTTCTTGCGGTCTCTCGTTGAATTCGACAAGGACGGGATCAAGGAGAAGCAAATGAAAGCGATCCGAGAGTACACAAAAGATTCTAAATTCAATCCGGAAGAGGTAACAAAAATTTCGACGGCCGGTGCTGGGTTGCTGAAATGGGTATTCGCCATGATCAACTACAATAAGGTCGCTCGAATGGTAAACCCGAAAAGAGCGGCGGTGGCGAATGCAGAGAAGACATTGAGTATCAAGGAAGTCGAGCTCGTCGAAACCAAGAGTGAATTAAAAAGTTTGCAGGAAGAACTCAAACAGCTGAGCACACAATTCGAAGAAAAGAGCGCTCGCCAACAAGATCTAAAGCAAAGCGCCGAACTCATGGCGAATCGCCTCAACGCCGCCGAAAGGTTGATTTCTGGGCTCGCCAGCGAGAAAGTCAGATGGACCAACGAGATGCAGGAGTTGAGCACGCGAAAAGAACGCTTAATAGGCGACTGTTTGCTCACATCTGCATTCTTATCGTACGCGGGACCATTCACATTTGACTTCCGTCGACAATTTGTGCACAATCATCTGCAGGAACATTTACGCAGCCTAGGCGTGCCGATGAGTGAACCATTCAAACTTCAAGCGCTCCTCACGGATGAAAACGAAATAAACTCATGGTTTGCAGAAGGACTACCAGGCGATGAACTCAGTGTGCAGAATGGTATGCTTACAATGAGGGCTGGAAGGTTTCCTCTATGCATCGACCCGCAAATGCAAGCGGTGAAGTGGATCAAATCGCGAGAGGGAGCGCTGCTCGACGGCAAGGTGAAACGGCAAACGGATGCGGATTTCCTGAAGCAACTCGAACTGGCCATTCAGTATGGTCTTCCTTTTTTGATTGAGAATCTTGGTGAGTACATCGATCCGGTGTTGGACCCAGTATTGAAAAAGAGCTTTTATTACGCGCCGAACGGCGCTAAGATGATCAAACTTGGTGATTCCGAAGTTGAGTGGGACGAAAACTTCCGGCTGTACATGACCACCAAGCTACCAAACCCTCACTACGATCCTGATGTCACGGGAAAGACCATCATCATCAATTACTCCGTGACCGAGCTCGGACTGCAAGAGCAACTGTTGAGCGTCACTGTAAAACAGGAACGACCAGATCTCGAGACAGAACGAGAGAAACTTGTCAAAGAGACAGTCGCGAATCGAGCTCTGCTGAAAACGTTGGAAGACACTCTGCTTCACGAACTATCTACCGCGCAAGGCGAGATTGTCGATAATGTTGAGCTCATTGAAACACTTGAGAGCGCAAAGACAAAGTCGATTGAAATTTCTGAAAAACTTGTGCTTGCTGCGAAGTCTGCGAACGAGTTGAACCAAGCGCAATTGTGTTACTCGCCAGTTGCGAAGCGCGGTGCGATTCTCTTTTTCGTCATATCTGCGTTGTCGAATCTCAACGCAATGTACGAGTATTCTCTTTCGAGCTTTTTGGATGTGTTTTGTAACACTCTCGTGGTCACGCCGACATGCGACAATTTGCACAAGCGCTTAGCTGATCTAGTCGACAGGTTGACTTACGACGTGTATAGGTTTGCATGTTTGGGCCTCTTCAAGCGCGACAAACTCGCGCTTTCGTTTCAGATGACGACTCGTATCCAGGAAGGACAAGGCAGATTAAATGTGAAGCTCTTGCAATTCTTTCTGAAAGGGTGTGTGACGCTCGACGATGCTTCAGAAACGTCGCAACCGATCGAGTGGTGGTCAGAGCGCGGTTGGCAGGACTTGATACATCTAAGCAACGAAGTCGCCAAACGCGATGGAGGCTGCACCGCACTAACGGAGATCACCAGTCGCATTGAGCGCAACGCGTGCGAGTGGAGAGAGTGGTATGATTGCGAGAAACCAGAAGCGACTTCGTTACCTGATGACTTCTCGGACAAACTCTCGGAACTTGAACGTCTCTGCCTGTTGCGATGCGCGCGGTTAGACAGAGTGCCTATGGCGGTGTCGAATTACATCGTGAAGACCATGGATGTGAGATTCGTTACACCGCCGATTTCTGATTACAATGCCATCTTCAAGCTATCTTCTAAGTTAACGCCCGTGGTTTTCATCTTGTCTCCCGGAGCAGATCCCGCGTTTGATATATTCGCTCTGGGTGAAGCAATGGGATTCAAGCCCGGCGGTAAACTGAAGTTCATGGCTCTAGGCCAGGGCATGGGTCCAAAGGCGGAGGAGCTCATTCTCACGTGCGCATCACGAGGCCTGTGGCTCATGTTGCAAAACTGCCATCTGCTACCCAAATGGCTCGCGACGCTCGAGAAGGTCATCGATGGCTTGGTAAATCCACACAAAGATTTCCGTCTGTGGCTCACGACCGACCCCATCGCGACGTTCCCGATTGGAATTTTACAACGAAGCCTCAAGGTTGTGACAGAACCGCCTGATGGGCTTAAAATGAACATGAAAGCCTCATACGGGAGGTTGTCCGAAGACGTTTTGGGCAGTTGTCGAAACCCATTCTTCAGAGCACTGGCATACGTACTCGCATTTTTTCATGCCGCGGTGCAAGAAAGGCGAAAATACGGCAAACTTGGTTGGAACGTGGCGTATGATTTCAACGAGACGGACTTCCGAATCTCCTTCAGCCTAATCAAGGCGTATTGCGACAAGGTAAGAGGCGACCGAAACGGTTCGAGAATGATACCTTGGACCGCATTAAAATATCTTATTGGTGAGGCGATGTACGGAGGGCGTGTGAGTGATCATTACGATCGTCGAGTGCTCAACGCATACTTGGAGGAGTACTTTGGCGACTTCTTATTTGATGGATTGCAAAAGTTCATGTTCTACGACGACGAAGAGAACGGTGGAGTGCGATACGAGCTACCGGCAAAGAATATGACGTACGACGAGCAGCTTTGCGTCATCGATGCTCTCCCCGACGTGCAAACACCGGAGGTTCTAGGATTACACGCCAACGCCGATGTCGCTCACTCCACTCGAGCGGCGAAAGAATTATGGTCCAACGTGCTTTCGCTTCAGAGCAAACTAGAGGTGGCCGCAAGCGATGTTGATTCTGATAAAAATAATTCCCAAGACATGACACTCGTCATAGCTTGCGAGATTCTCAAAGTAGTGACGAATGAAGAGTTTGAATTTGACACCGCGAAACTTCAGCGAGGATTCGATGGGGAAACGCCCTCGCCGACGACGGTGGTGCTGTTTCAGGAAATTGAGCGTCACAATTATCTGAAAATAGTAATTCAACGCTCACTGAGAGAACTCATCAAGGCTTTGAAAGGGGAAATAGGATCTTCTCGGGAGCTCGATGCAGTCGCCGATGCGCTCTCATGTGGATATCTTCCTGACGAGTGGAAAGCGGCAGCACCACCCACGGATAAAGACGTGCAATCTTGGATGACGTGGTACAAAACTCGTGAAAAACAGTTCAAGTCGTGGGCGCTCGAAGGCGAGCCGAAGGTGATGTGGCTAAGTGGTCTGCATTGTCCGGAGACGTACATCGCCGCGCTCATTCAGAGCGCTTGTCGCGCGAGAGGTTGGCCCCTCGACGCGTCCGCCATGTACACGGAAGTCACGGAATTCATCTCCGTAGACGATGTCGAAGAGAAACCAGAGTTAGGATGCTTAATCTCTGGCCTGTTCTTAGAGGGCGCGGTGTGGGACCTCGATCGAAGGGTCCTGACGCAACCCAGCGACAAATGTCTCGTCAGCGAGCTCCCGATTCTCCGTCTCGTCCCGTACCGTCGGTCTTCGACAGATCTCGGCGGTGCGTCGAGCGATGCCAACACCAACGTAAACACTTTCAAGACTCCCGTGTACTTCACCCAAAACCGCCGCGACGCCATGGGTCGAGGTCTCGTCTTTGAGGCTGACTTGGGTTCGCAGGACCACGCGAGCGCCTGGACGCTTCGAGGCGTCGCCCTCGTTCTCAATATCGACGCGTAGACGATGGCGAACGTTCGTTCGCTCATGTTATATCATTCATTCACGTCTTCTAACCGCCCGACGAACGTCTGGGGGGTCACATTCACGACGAGCTTCTCGTCGCCCTCGCGCCCTCGGGGTCTCTCCCTGTCCTCACTCTCCCGCGCGGCAGTTTCGGTGTACCTCGACCGTGATGTCTCAAGACGCCGCGTCTCGCCGCGTTCGATCGCTCGCGAACCACGTGGTGGCGCCAACCTCTGGGGCGAACGCGTTTGGCGTCGCTTCCGCGAACAAGGTGAGGCAAAGGTCGCGTCGAAGGTCAAAGTCGTTAGAGAGAATCGTCACGGATTGAAATCGTCGACGCGCGACCGATGTGCATCGACTGACGACGCGCGCGCGCGATCGCTTAGGGATTCACGAAATCACCGGATGACGTCGTCGTCGTCGCGGCGTGTCGAACCCCGATCACGAGGGCGAAGAAGGGAGGATTGGCCAAGACGCCGGCGGATGATCTCGTCGCGGCGGTGCTCCAGGCGGCGACGCGGCGGGCCAATATCGATCCGAGCGAGGTCGGGGACGTCGTGGTCGGAAGCGTCTTGGGGAGTTCGAGTCAGAGGGCGAACGAGTGTCGTATCGCGATGTTCTTGGCGGGGTTCCCGAAGGAGGTGCCAGTGCGGACGACGAATAGACAGTGCTCGTCCGGAATACAGGCGTGCGCGGACATCGCGGCGGGAATCAAGGCTGGGTACTACGACGTCGGTATCGGGGCTGGAGTGGAGACGATGACGTCAAATCCGATGAAGTGGGAGGGCGGGTTCAATCCCCGAGTGGCGTCGTCGAGCGACGCTCAAAACTGTCTCATACCCATGGGCGTGACGAGCGAAAACGTTGCGGAAAAGTACGGCATCTCGCGCGAGACCCAAGACACGATGGCGGCACGTTCGCACGCGCGAGCTGCCGCTGCGCGCGCGAGTGGTCGTTTCAAGAATGAAATCGTTCCGATTCACACGAAGAACGCGGAAGGCGCGGACATCATCGTGTCGGAAGACGACGGCATTCGTCCAGAGACGACGCTCGCTACGCTGGCTCGGTTACCAGCAGTGTTCAAGAAGGGTGGTAGTACGACTCCTGGAAACGCATCGCAAGTCTCCGACGGTGCCGCCGCAGTTGTTCTGGCGCGTCGATCATACGCCGAGGCACGCGGTCTGCCGATATTGGCCACGTGGCGCTCTTTCTCTGCCGTCGGATGCGATCCCGCTCTCATGGGCATCGGTCCCGCCGTGGCGATTCCTGCAGCTCTCAAGGCTGCAAACTTGACTGTCGATGACATTGACCTGTACGAGTTGAACGAAGCCTTTGCATCTCAAGCGACGTACTGCATCGAAAAGTTAGGGCTCGATCCCGAGCGCGTCAACGTGAACGGCGGCGCCATCGCGTTGGGACATCCGCTCGGCGCCACTGGGGCGAGATGCTTAGCGACGCTTGTTTATGAAATGCACCGGCGCGGTGCGAAGACTGGTATGTTTAGTTGCTGCGTGGGTTCAGGGATGGGCGTTGCAGCGCTCGTCTCGGTCGAAGACTGATGGAATCAGCAGGCTGAAGTTCTCGCACGATGGTGGCGCGGACCCGAGGAGGCGGCCAACTCAGGGTGCGCGAACACATTATGTCTCCATCGCCTAGTGCTCTGCGCACAATTTTGACTTGTTTTTATACATTTTCTCTCGCTACAAACTCCTATTCCATCGATTCACACGCCGCGAATTTCCGTTTGAGTTCCCAGAACGAGCTCTGAACTTTGGTCTCCAACGCAGCCAATGCGCGAACGTGCGGCGCATACGCCAACAAATGTTCGTTCGTCTCCTCGTTTGGCTTTTCGTCGCGCGCTTTCCCGTACGCGTCCTTATCTTGCACGCCGAACGAGTCTGGGAGTGCGTAATTTGGCCCGAGCGGCGCCACCGTCGATCCAAGTCGCTTCTCGATGTCCTTCAAGAGCTTTGGTTCGTTGTACCAAATCGTGTGACCTCCCTCCGACATGAGTTTGACGTCGTCGGGTTTGGGATCAAACCAAGGCTTGTAGCCCTTCTTCGTGCAGTACCACACTCTTTCGTTCTTTGCGGCGACGATCGATATCGCTAGTCCCATTGTATCCGCACGGCCGACTCTGCCGATCCGATGGATGTAATCTTCACTTTTGTCCGGCAGCGTCATGTTTATGACGTACGGAAGGTTTTTGATGTCGATACCTCGAGCCGCGACATCCGTGCAAATGAGAAAGCGTACATCGCCATTTTTGAACGCTTGTAAGTTTCGTCTGCGTTCATCCATGTTTCGAGCACCTCCTAAGACGCAGCACGAGTACTTGCCCTCGACGCCGCCGACGTCGGCGCCTCGAAATCGCTTCCCACCACCGCTTTCGTTGAGAAACTTTTCCAAGTTGTCGCAATCAAAGTTTGTGCGACAGAAGATCATGCACTGGTCCATCTCGTGCGCGTCTATGATTCCACGAAGAATGTGGGGCTTTAATCTCTTGATCGATTCGCTCAACGCGTCGTCGCCATCGAGCGTGGAGGCCAAGGAGTGCGCTCGATCTGTGAGGACCTTGGGCTCGAGCGCGTCCACGTCTTGCGTCGTCGGATCCACGAGTACGAGGGCGTGATGCACCGTCTCCGGCACCGCGTCTTTCCCTTTTAAATCCACCCACGTCGCGTTCACGGTCAAGAAACCCGCGAGCTCACGAATCTCGGGCGAGTGCAGCGTGGCGGAGAAGAGCATGACTTGCAAACGCTCCGTCGCGGATGCCGCGAGTTTGGGCATGCGTTCAAAGAGTTTCAAAATCGTCGCCTGATTGCCGGTGTCCAAAAGTCGATCGGCCTCGTCCAAGACAAAGTACCGAATGGCGCTGAGATCGAGCTTACCGTTTTGCACGAGCTCCAAGACCCTAATCGGAGTTCCCGTGACAATGTCCACGCCCTCTCGCAGGAGCGCGTGTTGCGGTCCCTCCTTGACGCCGCCGATGAACAAACCGGGCACGATCGCCGGATCTCTGAACTCGGATGCAAAGTTGACGAAAAACTCATGCGTTTGCTCGGCCAACTCTCGCGCAGGCTCCAAGATGAGCGCACGCGGTATCCTGACTCCGGACTTTGAGCGCGCCTCCGCGCTTGCGGGATCGTCGCCGTCCACCGCGTCTCGAGAGTTGAGAGAGCCAAATCCGACGTACCCTTCCGGTGGCGCGTGCTTGAAATCTTCTTCGACGAACCTCACAACGCACTCCGCGTTCTTCAGACACACCGCGGGGAAGAGCCCGTCGCTCTTCGCGCTCTGTTCACTCAATCGAAACGCGTCGCCGAGCGATTTTCCATTCTTCGTAAACGACACGACGCCGCCTTCGATGTCCAACAAACATCCCACAACGTCGCCCTTCTTGAACTTCTCGCCGTAGTCCTCGAACGATTTGTTGTGCGACTTCTTTCCCGTCCCTCCGTACCCGTATGAGTGCGCATCGGCGCCTAAACCGTCCAACGCGCCGAACCTCGAGGAGAACCCAAACCTGGCCAAGCCGTCATCCGTCACCTCCGCTTCGAACATCACCTTCCCCACCGTCTCCCCCTCGCGTCTCGGATCGATGCCGTATCGACCTCTCACGCCACCCCACGACGTCATCGATCGCGACTGCGTCCGTCCACTCGCGTAATCCGTCGCGCACGTCGCGCTTCGCGCGTTCGCGCTCAACCGCGCCCGCGTCCCCAACGTTTCCACCGCCTCGCTCGTCGTCGTCGTCCCGCGCGTCCACGTCCCACCGCGCTCACGCTCGCGCTCCACCATCATCGTTTCCCGCGTGAGCTGTAACACGGGCGCACCGAACGCGAACGTCTTCCCGCTCCCCGTTTCCGCGCTCGCCAAGACGTCGCCGCCGGTGAGACACAGCGGAATGGCTTCGCTCTGTATCGGCGTCGGCAGCGTGAACCCGGCGACGTCGGCGGCGACGATGAGCTCGGGGCACAGGCCCAAGTCCTCGAAGGCGCTCATGTCGCGCGCGCTCGGGACGGGCGAGGAATGCGGACGACGCGCGGGCGCGGACGTCGTCGCCTCGGTTCTTCGAGCGCGCCCGATGATTCCATGGGAAAGGACGCGACGCACGGCGCGAAAAGAAACGAAGAATATCATTCTAATGAAAAGGTCGCCCGCGCCGTGGCGGTCGAGACGCTCACGCGTGGACGGCGAGCTTGGCGGCGTCGCGCGCGAGTCCGCGCGTTGCGTCTTCGCCGCCGTAATCAAACGTCAACCGCATGTTATACGCGTTCTCCCCGTCCGCGTAATACTTCTCCTCCACCCCGACCTCCTCGTACGCCAAAACATCCCTGTACAGATGTATCGCCGCCTCGTTGCTCACTCTGACGTGTAAACTCACGTCTCTCGCCCCGTAGCACTCCGTCAACGCCCGATGCGCCGCGCGCATGAGCGTCGCCGCCAACCCTAATTTTCTATGCGTTCGCAGCACCGATAAAGACGTGATGTGCCCCTTGATCTCCGTCGTGGACTCCTCGTCGAGCTTGGCGAGGACGTAGCCCACGACGGCGCCGTCGACGTCGGCGACTTGGAGCAAACTCGGCCAACTCAGGGCGTGGTACAGGTAGTACTTCATCTGGTAATTCTCCGGCAGGCACATCAGGTTACACCGCTGCATCGCCCACAGGTCATCAATCGTCGCCGCGCGCACGCACACCCCCATGGCCTCGCGCGCGCGCGTCCGCGCCGGGGCGTCGGGCGATCGACGAACGATGCGAACGCGCCCTCGCGCGCGACGCGTGGGGGTGGATTTAGGGTTTAGTGCGTCTGGATGTAGGGTTTAGTGAGCGTCCAAAACAAAGGTCGAGCGGTCGACGCCAGCGCCGAGGGCGTCCGACGCGCGCGCGACGCTGCGCGGCGTCGCCCGACGGCCGCGATGGCGCTCGCGCGCGGCCGTCTCGCGGGCGCGAGCGAGGGCGCGTCCGTGGCCGGGGCGTCGACGCGGGGGCGACGACGTCGGTCGCGCGCGATGTCCTCGACGTGGACGCCCGCGGCGTCGGTCGCGCGCGACGCCGAGGCGACGGACGCGCTGACGCTGGCGACGCGATGCGCGCGGGCGTCGAACTTTGTGTACAGAGGGGACGATCTCCCGACGTGGTTCGCGGACGATGGGGCGACGACGCGGGCGAGAGGGGCGACGGGCGCGACGGCGTTCGCCGTGGCGGATGACGCGGCGCGGAACGAGCGCTTCGTCGTCATCAGAGGCGCGGCGTGGAATCAACCGGACACGGATAGGAATAAACTGTCGTGGCAGATTGCAAAGGTGTGGCCGCAGCGACTGCGGAGGGAGACGCCCGTGGTGTGTCACCAGGGTGTTTTAGAGATGACGGATGAGTTTTGGGACGACCTCAAACCGTGGTTACGCGGCGACGACGGGTTCACCGGGACGTTTTACTTCACCGGACACTCGCTCGGTGGGTCCATGGCGATCGTGTGCGCGGCGAGGGCGAGATTGGAGCTCGGATTGGAGGAATCGCGCGTTGGGCCGATTCACACGTTTGGTGCGCCGCCTGTCTTGGCGTACGATCGCCTGGCGAGCGGACGGTCGGCGAGCGACGAGGCGACAATCGGCATGAACGAAATCATGCGCCTTTTGGGGTTTGAGCAAGGAGCGGCGATGGTTCGTCAGTACGTGCTGGCAAATGATGTCATTCCTCGCATGTGGCTCGCCGCCGATCCCGTTTTTTCGGCGGCGACAAAGACGGATTTCATCGGTGGCTTGCTCGATTGGCGTCGCGAAATCTTTGGCGAGGGGATGTTCACGAAGAATCGCTTCCTGTACGAATCCATCGGTGAGTTGTACTGGTTGGAGAGCGCGAACAACGACCAAGGGAAGCCAACTCTGAGTCGGTTCTTCGGCGACGACGTGTTGACGAAACTGCAAATGGAGTTGGAGGATATCACGCAGTCCCCGATGACGGCGATGCGAACGCTCGGCGACCACAACTCGCAGGCGTACGTCGATGCGCTCCAATTTCTCACGATTCGTCGCGTGCTGAATCCTTCATCTCCCATCTAATTACTAGCCTAATATTTAAAATCTACTACCGGTCCCGGTCCGGTATCTGTTAGTACTAATCAGTGTCCATCTCACGACGTCGTACGATGCCCGCTCTGGGGAACTTTCCGATCATCCGGGAAAATGGCTCGCACGGCAGGCGCCAGCTCGTATAACTCTCTCGTAGTTTGCGCTATTCTCTCCATCAGACTGTTTTCATCGTCCGGTTTCTGCATCGCTCGTGCGCCCAGTGCCCGCGCGCCGATGAGAGCATTGGCGATCGGAACGAAACACGTCTCATGATTGGTGATTCCTCCGACCCAAGCGTCGCTCGCACTCGGGGACGATCGCAACGCGCTCTTCATGCAATCGAGCGTTCCTAGAACGCGCTCGAGCGCGTGAGAAGCGGTCTGAGCGTCGAAGTCATTTTCAATTTGTGATGCCGCCGAGTACGCCATTTCCAAAGGCTCCGCATAAGGATTGTCCGCCTCCTTGTCGAAGAGACGGCGAACGGTGGTAGCGTTCGCGATCAACGTAGCGAAACGAGGCTCATCGTACGCCTCACCGGCGGCGATTTCGATGATATACTTCCTGAACGCGTCGAATCGACCGAACTCAGCGTGCATGTGAGAGAACACATGGCTGATGATTACTGCTGTGTGCGCATGTGGCGCCGAAGGCGGCAACGCACATGAGACCGCTCTCGCGGCTTTGGTTCGAATGTCCGCGTCTTCGTCTTGAATGAGAGCCAACGCGCACTTCCAGGTTAATAAAGCGAGCTCTCCCGCCCGGTCGTCTCTAACGGTTGATGAAGTAAGATGGCACAACAGCTCACTGCGAGCCAGCGCGTCCACTGCCGAGCACCGAGTTTCATCGGACATAGATGGAGTAGAACCGACAAAAATTGTGCGGACAAACTGGTCCAGCTCGCCGGACGTGTTTATTATTTCGTCCGCGTCAACCGCGAGACGTCGTTTGCAAAGACGTGCCAGGCAACGCAACCCCTCTGATCGAACGCGTTCATTTACGTCCTCGAACGCCACCTCTCGAACGGCACGCCAGACAGCTCGCTCATCATCTGCGTCTCCTACATCGCACAAACTCGACCACAAATCGATACATTGTAAAGTACGACGAGCGCAGCTGTGCCGAGTTTCCGACGATAAGTTTGCAGCCGCTGCTTGCCGTAGCTTCCTCATTGTCATATGCGAGATGCTGTCATCATGAGGCATCTTGAACATCACTTTGTATGCCTCAGCGCGATATTCATACGCCAGATCTTGTGATAACGTATCGTGAAGAGCAACATCCACGTCGCCTGTGTCCAGAAGCGCGCGAATGTGAGCGTTGAGAGGGACAGACCAAGAGTCGTAACCAACTGCGAGTCGAACGCGCACGCCTGCAGCTGCCTTGTTCCACTCAGAAGAACCTGGGTGTCCAGCAGCCCTTGAAGAGAGAACGGGCGCGGAGCACTGCCATATCATTCGTGTCAATCCGCCGATTTGCTCAAAGCTCGCGCTACCGGCACAGGCACATCCGGTTCGCGAGCATTTCTGGCATGAGTTTGCCACGGATAACGTCGCTTCAGCACATCTTAGCCACGTCGCGGATATCAACGGAGATCGAGATGTCACGGCGATTCCAGCGAAAGAGATCAGTCGTCTGGACACGCCGTCGACAAAGTCAGACCAACACACATCTTCAGCGTACGTCGAGCTTCGAACTTCATTGATAATCTCTAGAACGCATAATAACGCACCATGTACTGCGTTAAGACCAGGGGCAACGAGTGACCTTAGTTCAAGAATATCTTCTATATACTCGCACAGACGCGTGGAAGATAAAAGTGGTACGAGCGCACGTGCCGCCATCGTCCGCACCGCGAGATACTTTCCGGACACGCATCGACGTATAGTAGCGATGAATTTATCTCCACTCGAGTGTAAGTCTCGCTCTAGACTTGGTCTCAACCGAGAAAATAACGCCAATATCGGGTACAAGCTGGGGTGCACGTCCACAGCTGTCGGCAAGTGCAGCGTTGCCGTCGCTACTTCCAGCTCTCGAAGCAAGTGACCCATCAAGGTGGGATATCGTCGCGCGAAGTCTGCAAGTTTAACTTCGTGACGACCGTCTGAGGTGAACATTCGCTGTCGCGTCACCGTGTTAATGTATCCGCACACCTTGGTCAGAAGCGACGAGTAAGCAAGTGTTGCGGCATTTTTGATCTATAAAGGAAAAAAGCAGGTATTAGTAATCGGAACTCGCACAAGAAAATACTGAGCGCCATCGCGTGTCGAGTCCTAGTGATCGTATGCTCGCTGGTAAGCATGAGCACCTGTCACCAAGTCTCTTTTGATGTTGCTGGGGAACAAGCCATGCGCCCCATCGCGGAGCTCAAGCGCAGGCAACGATACCACCAGCCTTATTTGCGTGCGCGAAACACAAGCTCAAACTTACCTCCCACGTCTGCGATGAAAATGCATCGATGCACACTTGTACTCCACGCGACGCGTGCGTAGTTGTGTCTACGCTCAGATCTTTATCTGCAAAGATGACTCGAACCACATTGAACGCATGTACACGAGGAATATCCGACGTACTTGTCTCACCACACGCTATGTCGAGTAGTTTCGGCAACGCGCTTTCGAGAGCCACCCTAGGTTGACCTTTTGGTTCAGCGAGAAGGATTGCCATGAAAGCATACGGTAAGCCCGCAGAACGGCGCACACGATCGCGAATACCCTGTTCCGGACGATTCAACTGGTCAAAGAGCCCGTTCAACCAGGTTTCAGGTAACGCCTTTAGCGCGTTCGAGCTGTTTCGCATCAAACAAGCGCAAAGCGCCGTCAGACCGATGCGCGTTCTCGCTAACACACCAGTGTGTTTAACAGTGAAAAGCACGCTGATGAGACGTTCACCGACTGCTTTCACGACGTCAAAGGAGAAGAGATCCGCTGTGTCTGGTGCACTCATCACCTCCCCAGTGAGTAGACTTATCTCCTTCACCGTTAGCCAGCACGCGGTGGTTATGATTTGCGCCTTGGGAGCGAGATCAAGCAATTCCTCCATATCGTCGTTAATATTGGATTGGTCGTCTGATTGGAGGATGACCTCTTCTGCGGTCGCGCCCAACGCATCGGGCTGGCTGATGAAGTCTAACGCCATGTGGGTGGCTCGTTCCATGAGAGTCATCATACGATTCATGGCATCCTGAGAGAAAAAATGTGAGTTCCTTGAACATGGCGAGAATGATAAATAAGATGAATAATTCGAAGGGCTCGGTCCTGGCCAGGGTAGTTAATTGTTCGATTCAGCCGACCGTTGTCCTCACCGATATCAGTAGAGGGAGCCTGGTTTTCTTCATCGCCCTTCGTGTAATCGTTCGACGCGCGCGATCGAGGACTCACCTGTGTGTGTTCGCGCGTGTCACCTTTAAAATTGAGATCACAGAGCGTGTACTTCGCAAGAAGAATGGCGCCGTGCGCCAGGCAACGTCGGCATCCCTCGATGATATCTTGCTCGGCGGCATAAATGTCTTGTTCGAGCAAATCACACAGCATCTTGAGCACTTGAAGATTAGTGCTGTCTCGATTCTCTCCCTGATGTCCCTGCGCGACGCGAACGTGTGGACTCAGCTCAATGTTCCAGTTCAATTCGAAGATGTACTTATGAATGAGCAAACGAATCATGAGGGCAGCTGCGCCACTTTCTCTCACGCGAGGCGAGTGCAGAAGCTCCAAAGCCCACTCAAGTTGCTTCGCCAGCTTCTCTGGCGTTTCAATACCGGCAAGAGGCGATGCGTGCCGTCGCAACAGTTTGAACGCCGTCATGCGCATCTTTTCCCAACTATCGACGAGTGCACCCATGAGCAAGCTCGTATAAGCCTCGTCTTGCATGAACACGGAGTATGGAGAGCTCAGTAGTTGCTTCGCGATGATGAGATCGTTGTTTCTGCCCGAGATATCACCATACGACTTCCATGATTCCACGACAGAGTTGAGCAGCTCGAGCGCGGTGCAGCGCCGCTCATACGGTGCGCCGGGATATAAGTTTGAGAACAATACTCGAACTATATCTGACATGAACACGTGCGCTCGTTGCGCTTTTTGGACGTGTGCTTTCAGTGCGTCGACTTCTCCAACCTTCTGAGCACCGTTCTTCAGAGCTGCCTCGCCCCGTCGGCGCAACTTCTGACCGACATGATTCACGCCGACCCATATTCTGGCGAATACCTTCGAAACAGACGTGACGAGAGCGTTACGAAACGCCACGGTCTCACTGTTGTACGAAATACACGAAAAAAAGTTAGTCATAATCCAGCGCGATACACGGGCCAAGTCATAAGCAAAGCTCTCGGAATGAGTAGGAGGTTAAGGATGCCTCATAGATGTCAGCGCCTTAAGGTGAAAGAATCGTCATGGAGCTTTGCGTGATGATCTCCGATGTCGTGTGTCGCTACGCACCCTTTGAGGTTGGAAGCGATCATGCGCTGCAAGAGCTCAAGTTCATACTCTCCAGGCAGAGCGACGGTTGCCTGTCCTTTGCGTCCTTCAAGGCAGAGCCATTCGAGTACGTCCAGACGAGTGCTCTTATCAGCGCACACCATCGCTCGCTCAATCACGTTCTGCTCTACCGCGTACTCTCGATCGTTCTTACCGGCCCTGATGACAACGATGTGATCGGGATCCACCAGTTGCAGACTTCGCGCCACCTTGAGCACAGACACTACCGCCGAACACAACCGTATATCGTTCTTCTTCTCGTTCGCTTCGTCAACAAGACACTTTGTCAGATCGAAAATCGATTCAATATCTCTTTTAATGAATATGGGCAAGACGTATGTCACCACAGTCGCTCTATCGTCGACCAAAATGCTTTCCTTCACGATGGGTAGCCACCATTGACGCCACTTGTCAACCGATGCGAGCTCTTTCAAGTACACGGCGGACAAATCGTCGAGCGCGGTAGAGGCCGCGCTCGAGATGGCTGTCTGACGCATAGCACCTAGAGTGTTCGCCAGTACGTTCGGCTCGGCAGCTAGTATCCTTCTGGCGCCCACTTTCTCAACAAGAACCTGCAGCGCGAGGTACTTACTCTTTTGCTCAACTGGTCTTTGCATTGTTCGCTCCACTATACGATCCACGTAGTCGATGTCATGCGTTTCAGCGTCGCCGCGCACCGATGGAGCGATGTCGAGTAAGAGACGGAAACACGTCTGTCCTTCTCGGACGGTTTGTGTGAGGCTGTCTTCCCAGAGTGAGGAAATGGTTGACGCGACGCGTTCAAAGGCATCATGCGGCACGACCGACGAACCACCCATCATGGCATCCTTGACCTTCTCTAAAACCGCACGCAGGCATGACACGGCGTGATATCTGTAATGTACGTCGCCAGCGCTTTCGATCAAGGAACACAACCGCGGTAATACATTATCGAAAATAAACGCACCCCGCCGGTGATTCGTGAGCGCTTCAGGTTCGACGATGACAGCGAAGCCACGAAGCAGCGCGAGAGCGCCGAAACTCGAAAGAATTTCATTGGAACACTCCACATTTTTCGTTTTCATCACGGTTGCACCACTGATCGCGGCAATCGACGAGTCGTGATCGAAAAAAATGTCCTCAAACGCCTGGAGAACGTCGCCGTCGTTCGCTCGTGCCAATGCTAGGGTGACGCCTGCCGTGACAGCGGCGTCCCTTGACGGCGCGCGCTCGAGCGTCAAGTACCGAAACAATGCAGATAACATCGCCGTCAAGGCGTTGATGTTGTCTACTCGTTTTGTCAGCGTGTACGCCAATGCTGCACTCTCAGCCAAAACGTCTGCGTCCGCGGGCGTCGTCCTCATCCCCTCTCGCGCCTCCTGCGTCACCAGGTCGAATCCACGCGCGATTGCCAACTCTAAAACATCTTCTGTCCTCATCTTCTCGATGCACCTCGCCTCGAATTCCAAACGCGGCGCCGCCGCGAACACACGAGCCGAAACCGTCGTCGCCGTCAACACCTCTGTCGACGTCCGCCCACTCGTCGTCGCCTCCCGCGCCGACTCGAGCGCGCGTCTAGCGAATTCATCCGCAGTGCGCGTCGCGACGCCGATCGAGGCGTTGAGCGTTTTCCTTGCCCGTCCGTGTTCTCTGCGCTGCGTCGCTGGATCGAGCGTCGCCTCCAGCGCCGCTCGCTCGCTCGCGCACGCGACGTCCATCGCCACCTCTCGTCCCGTGCCCATCGACGCGTCCGCGCCGTCGCCGTCGCCTGTCGCGGACGCACGAACGACGTTCGTTTCGTTCGAGCCGCCGCCACTCGACTTTTTCGCTTTTTTGGACGACGAATTCGCGTCGTCGCTCGTCGTCACGCGATGATCTCGGGCGCGACCGGGCGGCATGGACGCTACGTGTTCGCCCTCGCGGGGCGACCGGTCGTCGTTCGCGGCGAGGCGACGAACGACGACGCGAAGGACCGAGAGTGGGGCTCTGAAGTTCCCCGACGTGTACGAAGTCTGAGCGACAAGTCGGAGTCGCCGTCAGAATCACTCGGTAAAGTCGATAAAGGTGACCTTGGGGCCGGTATCGACGACGACGATGCGACGCGAGTCCCGGACGAACGCGAGATCGTTAATCTTGCGATTGAGCGGGAGATCGGCGACGACGCCGGAGGCGCGCGCACTGGGGTCGTCGACGAAATCGCCGGGCGTGCTCACGCTGACCCAGTTCCACGCGATGAGTCGTCTATCGGCGCCTCCGGAAACGATAATGTCACCGCGAGGGAGCCAAGGTACGAAACCAGCGCACGTGGCCGCATTGGCGTGCCCACCAACGCCGTCTTCTCCGAGGCGGACGCATTCGGCTCGTCCGTCGCGAAACGCTCCGCCTGGAGCCTTCGAGGATGCACTCGATAATTTCTTGCCCGACGACGACGCAACAGCCTTGAGATCGGCGTCAAAAACCATGATCGTGCCATCACCACACGCCGCGCACGCGACGCGCCTCGCGCCGGGGGCGTTCTCGGCGCAAGTCTCGCCCTCAAACGCGCTCACGGAGTGCAACATCGGCGGATTAAACATGCGCTGGCCTCCGTCGTCGCTCGATTCATCCGCAGCGCCAGAGTGCGCGCGATCGTGATCGCGCGCGCTTCGAACGGACCTCGCGTCCCACGTTCGCACGGGCACCGTCTTGGCTCTGTGATCCCACTTCATGGCGCGACAATCTGTCGCCGTGGTGAGGAGCTCGCTCTCCGCTCCGCGCTTGCGCCGAAACGCAACCGCCGTAGCGCACCCGTCGTGCCCTCGCAACCGCTTCACCACCGCACCCGTCCGCGCGTCGTACACCACAATTTCACCCGAATCATCGCACGCCGCTAAGCATCGTCCGCTCACGTCGACGTCTAGCCCGTTCACGACGTCCGCGTTACTTTCAAAAACCCGCACAGCCCAACCGCCCAGCGGCGCGTTCGCATCCACCACCCTCGAGTCACTCGCCATGCGCGCGTCCGCCTCGACCACGCGCGAGCCCAGGGCGTAGAACAACGCGTGGTCGCTCGTGAACGTCATCGCGTTCACCTCGACCGCGTCCTCGCGCGTCGCGCTCGAGTGTTTCACCGTGAATGCGGTGCGCGGTGCGCGCTCGTCGAGGCTACAAATCGTCCCGCGTTCGCTCGATACCGCGGTTTGCGACGGACGATCGACCCCACGCGCGATCGCGACGAATCCTTCGTCGTCGCCGGACGCGCGCGCGCGCGAGGCGACGACGAGCATGACGAAAAGTGTCGCTCGGGACACGAACAGACTTTTAGAGTCTCGGTGACGGTTGGTCTCAGACGACGCCGCGCGACGATCGGGATGCCGCGCGAGGACCACGCCGCCGTGGACGACTGGGCGCGTTGGTTTCGAGCTCGGGCGTTCGGTCGCGTCGTCCTCGTCCGCGTCTTAGTGCTCGGATTCGCCGTCGTGGCGACGGTTTCAGAGCACTGGTTAGAACCGCGCGCGCCGGGTACGATGTTCCCGGGCGTCGCGCGAGCCGGTCTGTGGCGCGCGTGCGCGCACTACGCGTCATCGTCACCCGTAAGAGATCGATCGAGCATCGCTCGGTGGTGGCGCGAGGTCGAGCGCTCGTTCAGAGGCATCCACGGTCTGGACCAGTTTCCTCCCGAGTGCGTCGGCGCGGAAGCGTTGTACGGGGACGTGTACGAAACAAATTACTGGCCTTCGATCACTGGTACGCGAGCGGCGGCTATCGGATTCATCTTTGCATCGATCCTTGAGCTCACGGTGTTGGTCTTTTACTTTCTTCGTCGTCGACGAGTGTCCAAAGGTGGTTTTGCCACGGCGTCCAGTGTCTCGTACTCAATTCTCGCGTGGGTGTGCGCCGTCGCCGCGTGCGTTGTTTACGCCACACTCGTGAGAGATATACGCAAAAATACGCCCGCTTACGTTAAAAACGGCAACGCTGTGTTTACTGACTGGCTTGGTTGGGGTTTTTGGATGTTTCTCGCGTGTGCGGCGACGCATACGTTGATGCTCGCGTGTTCCATTCGAGACTGGGATGCGGCTTCTCGAGCGCGGTTTGCCGAGCGAATGGACCGATCGGACAACGCAGAGCGATAAGTTACAAGCCAGATGCTGTGCTGCAAATGAACGAGAGAAAAAAAGGAGACGGACTATGTCGACGACGGGTTTATTCGCCCATCAAATCTTTCGCGTCGAGCGATCCGTCGCCGTTGACGTCGAGCTCTTTGAAGCGCGCGGCTACAGAGTCAAAGTCGCTCGCCTCCAGTTTCCCGACGGCGATTAACATAGCCCTGGCGAAATCAAACTTGTCAACGTAACCTTTGTCCCCCCCTTGCTCGGCGAGCCACTGCGGGGTGAGCTTGAAGTTATTCACGTGTGAATCTTGCTCAGCCTTGCCCTCGACTGTTCCGGAGACGATTTGTCCGATGGCCCACGCCATGACGCCGATGGTGATCAAAGCGTAGGCGGACGCGAAAGCTTTTCCAGCTTCCGTTTTCGGCGTAATGTCACCGTATCCAACGGTTGTGCTCGTGACTATGGACCAGTAGCATCCGTCCAAGAAGGTGATGTCCTCTATCATGTGCATCGCCACCGCGCCGACGAAGATGACGCCAACCACCATGAGAACCGCTCTCATCCTCGGCGAGAGCGATACCTTGCGTCGCCGCGCCTCTTGCTTTTTGCGCTCACGAGCCGCTTGGATTTCACTCTCGTCCACGCTCGCCCCGACGTTGGCTTTAATCTTCGCCATGTCGATGGACATCTCCGCCTCCTTCCGAGCCGTCATCGCGTGGAGCGCGCGCTCTTGCGCCTCTAAAATCCAATCCGTCACTTTGGACATAAAAATACCCGCGACAGCGACGCCAGTGACGATGAAGATCATCACCGCGATCTTACCGTCGTCCGTCTTCGGGCTCTTGTCGCCGTACCCAACCGTGGTGACGGTGATGGCGACAAAGTACCACGCGTCCAGAAAGTTATCAAAATCGGGCTCATCCTTCAAGCCGTGCAAAATAGACAGCGACCCGACGACGTACACCACGTACACGATCCACAGATTATTATACAGGAATTCCATCGCGATCTTCCACGGTCGCTTTCTCGGCGTCCCGCTCGGTGGGGGCGGTCTCTTCGTCCGTCCGCTCGCCCGCTCGGCTCTCTTCGGTTTCGCCGGCGGCGCCGCCGGGGGATCGTTCGTCTTCCACGCCGTCCCCAATCCCGACTCCTCGTCTCGCGCCATCGTCCCGTACGTCCCGGGCTCCTCCGGGCGTCGTCCCGGTCGTTTCGGCGCCGACATCGTCACCGTCCGTCGTCCGTCGCTCACAACACCCTACCGATCGCGTCGTCGCGTCGACGCGTCGTCGCCTCGACGTCGTCCCGTTCGCTCGCCCTCGACCTCGCGCGCGCGCGTTCACCCGTTCGCCTCGCGTTCTTCCGCGTCGCGTCTCCCGTCGCGCGTCTCCCGTCGCGCGGCGTCGTCGCGCGGCGTCGTCACGCACTGTCGTCCTATGTCACGCTCGATGCCAGTGCCAACGTCGTCGAGCCACCGTCGTCACCGATCGACGCGCGCGCGCGAGCTCGCGCGGGCATCGAACATGTCGTCCGACGCGTCGCCGTCGTCGGGCGTCGCGCGCGCGGTGGCGTCGCCGCTCGTCGTCTTCATCGCGTTTCTTCTTCTCGATTGTTTCAAGCTCTTGGTGACGGTGACGTTCGACCTCGAGCCGGTGTTCGCGTTACAGCGAGAGATCGCGCGGTCGACGCGATCGTTGGCGCGGTCTGGGGCCACGGAGGCGGGCGCGGTGGGGTCGGAGGCGGCGACGACGGTGCGAGAGCGACGATTGGAACGGGTGCGGGGAAAGTTGAAACAACTCGAGCGGAGACGAAGCGGAACGGCGAGAAACGCCGCGAGAGCGGCGCACTGGACGAAGATGGCGAAAGCGGCGCTGGGAGTCGCGTTCGCGATCGGAATGCGGGAGATTGAGATGTTTCGATTGCCGAGAGAGTTTGTGTTTCCGCTCGGGAAGTGGTTGAAGGCGCCGCTTGCAGAGGCGGAGCCGGGCGCGGTGAGCGCGGTGGCGTGGACGCTCCTGTGCGCGACGGCGAGCGAACGCGTGGTCACCGCGATTGTATCTCCGGTGTTGAAGATGTTTCTCGGTGGCGCCATGGCGCGAAGGTGAGCGTTTTCGAACGTCCGCCGCGTCGCGAGTCGATCGCCGCGCGGAGTCACACCGCGACGCGCGGTCGATGTCAATCTCGAGCGCGCGCGCGTTCGCGTCGAGCGCGACGACATCGCTCACGCATCGCCCGCGCTCGACGTACGGCGTTCTTACTCGCGGTATTCTCTCGAGAGGGACGCGAGCGATGGCGTCCTCGACCTCGAGCGCGCCGTCAATGGCGGAGCGTCTGCAGCCGCGCGTGGACGCATGCAACGAGATGACGGCGTTGAATTACGCGAAATATGTCCCTTTCATCGTCGACGGTCAACCCGTGGGCGTGCTTCAGCCCTGGTTCGCGGAAGACCTCGAGAAGGCGTGCGGGTCGGAGACGTTGAGGAGGGACTCGAACGGCGCGGTGACGTTCGTGTCGTCGCTGGACACCGCAGACAAGCGGAGCGAAGCGATCATGCCGGGACTGGAGAAATTGCGCGATCAGGGGGTGATCACGGGTTGGCGTGATGAGATTTTCCCAGTCACTATGGGGTACGGCGTGCCTCCTCTGTTTCGGATAGAGCGCGCGGCGGCGTCTCTCTTGGGCGTTCGAGCATACGGGGTCCACGTCAACGGCTTCGTAACGCTACCAGATGGAGAGAAGGAACTCTGGGTCGGGAAGCGGGCGAAGAATAAGCAGACGTTCCCGTCAAAGTTGGACCATCTCGTCGCTGGCGGTCTCCCGGACGGGATGCCCCCGTATGAGTGCGTGATTAAGGAGTGCGCCGAGGAGGCGAGCGTTCCGGAGTCGCTCGCGCGAAACGCCAAGGCGGTCGGACTCGTCAGTTACACGATGAATTACAAGGGCTGTTGCAAGCGCGACGTGTTGTTCTGCTATGATTTGGAGCTTCCCGTTGATTTCGTCCCCACGCCAGACGACGGCGAGGTGGAGAGCTTCACGCGCTACAAAATCTCCGAAGTTTTAGAAATCATGGCGACGACGGAAGACTTCAAGGAAAACTGCTGCTTGGTGATAATCGACTTCGCCGTGCGGCACGGTTTCATTACACCCGACGAGCCCGGATACGTAAAGCTCGTGCAGTCGTTGAGAGTCGGGAACGCTTGACGGTCGGTCTCAGGTAACGGACGATATTAGAATCTGTAATTCAATCATTTTCTTGCGTGTATCTCGACGCGTCACCCGTACACATCGTGCCTGTGCTTATCGAGCCTATTCCATGATCGAGGCACTCGCCATGGCCCCATGTATGAGTCGTAAGCGGAGCCGCTCGATCTTGCACGCTTGACATCTTCCTCCGTAGGCCGGGAAACTTTGATTCCGCACACCTTCGCCACTGCGTGCGCCATCCCGCATCCGTCCACGGTGTTCTCGCCCTCGCTGCAAATGGCGAGCACGCAACCGACGCGCTTTTCGCCGTCCACCGCGTCGAGCGCGTCCATGAGCGCCCAGTGTGGATTCACCGACGTAGACATCTCCTCTTCGCTCGGTCGAACGTTCATCTCTAGATCGACAAGTTCGATTGCGTCGCACGCCGTGTTGAACGCGTCGTTGCCTCGACATCGTCTCCACTTTGTCCCACCTATTTGCTCCGCCGACTCCGCGACTGTTGATGGTAGACTTGAGCACATCACAATTCTCGTCGCCTTGGTGAACGAGCCCGCGACGAACTTCGCGAGCTCGTCGCAGAACGCTCGCCGCGCGCCGACGTGCGCGTCGCTTCGTATTTGCACCACGCACGCCGATCGCTCGCGTCCAGAGGTCGAAGTCACGTCCTCATCCGGGATCGTCCCGCAGTATATCTCGCACGCGCTCGCCAGCATCCCACTTGCGCTCGATCCTCGACTGAGATCGTCGTACAGCGCGTCGCGCCCGCACACCGGGGGGAGGTGCTCAAAATCGACGGCGCCGACGCGCGCGAGGTTGTACGTCGCCGCCAAGACGTCGCACGCGAGTTGACCGACGTTTCCACACGTTCCGGGCACGGCGACGACGACGACGTCGCACTCAAGCGCGCGTTTAAGGGCAATCTCCGCGCCGTACGCGGCGTAGGTCGTCATCGTTCGTGCGTCGATAAGTGCGGACAAGTCTGTCTGTCCGAGGTGCGCTTCTTCGTCGAAGAAGTGGAACATCGTAACAAACGCTCTCACGGCCACGACTCGGAAGCGCTCTCGGCTCGCAGCAGCGCTCGCTTCGCCAAATCACTGTTCAACACGACCCGAGGGGCGAAGTTACACGCGAGCACGGAGTGCCGTGATCTCAAAAGCGTCGCGCTCACCCCGACGGAGTTCGCTCGGAGTTCATTCCGTCCAACGACGACGATGAACGGGGATATTTCATCCGCTTTTTCGAGTAGCAGTTTCGAAACGTTCGCGTCATTGTCGGTCTGGATCAGAGTTTCGACCGTTTCCACTTTCTTCTCGCGGCAAACTTTGGACGCCGCGCGCAGGAGGACGTCGTCGTAGGAGTGCGCTCTCTCGCCTCTCGTTTCTGTCTGCACTCTGACCAGGAACACCGTGGTACCGGGTTGGACGACTAGATTCAACGTCACGTCGACTAAACTCGTAATTTCCATTGAAGAACCGTCGATGCAGATGAGTACTCGTCTCGAGGCGGATTCGTGCGTCATATAGAACGTTGTTACTGCGAGAAGTGAAGCGTCATCGTCTTCGACGTCGCTGTTTGTATTACAAATAGAGAGACGAATCATGATCGCTCGAACTCGCCCAGCAAGGTTTGAAAAGATGCACCACTTGCATACTCCTTTGGAAACGTCTCACGAAGTGCCTCGTCAAACATTGGAGAGCCGTAAACCTTGGTTGGGTTCTTAAAGCTCCATGACATTGTCGTCGGCCACATGGCGTGGATGTTTGATCGCATGAGTTTAATCAGGCTCCGCCGCTCACTTGATGTGTACTTTGTCGGCACCGCGCTATAGCAACTCTCGGGATCGGGAAGTGACAACGAGCCGCGTCGATCGGCGCTCAAAGACGCATCGGGAGCGTAAACTGTCTGCTTGTACCACGTCACGAGCTGTCCCCACACGTATAGCGGCCCATACTTCTTTTGCAGCAGCTTGTCGCGATTCCCTTTCACAGCGTTCGGAAGCTTTGTGCGCATCTCACACGATATCTGACTCTTCATGTCATCAATGTTTACCGGCGGTGATAATACCAGGTCGAACTTTTCGATCGTGAAGTAGTGCAGCGTGTTGGCGTGCAACCACAGCAAATCTCTCGCTTGCGCGTGAAAAGCTTTATCCCCAGCGTGCTCCAACGCTGCACGCACTTGAAGTAACCGAGCCCGCGCTTGTTCGGCGGTCTCGGGTCGTTCAACCACGTTCACTGACTTCTTGATCGCCTTCAATGCCGAAGCGACACGCGTATCGGTCCAAGTCTTCTCAAACATAGCTGCCGTTGACATGCTTGCCGATCTCGCTTCGTTGCGCTTATCTCCTCCAGAGTTCACCATAGTGATTATGAAACGGCGGAACACGCTGGCCTCACCACTCCACAGGTGGTCTATGACCTCATCGTCGCTGAGTGCTCGGAAGAACGAATCTCTTCGCTGCCCGGGTCTATTCAGTACGTAACGAATCTTATCTAGCGTCACGACGAGATTCGTAATTCTCGTTGAGGCCACACCCGCGGCTTCGTACTTCGCTCCAATCTCATCGTACCGACCGTATTCTGTCACAGGTAGTTTCATCAACACGTCGGGTAACTCTTTTTCCTCCAGCTTGATGTACTGCAGAGTCAGTGCCGCCCATTTAACGACCCAATCAGGGCACTTCTCGAGTGCGCACTGGCGAATGCCTGCGACGTACAAGGATTCGCTCTCTGCTTTAGTCAGTGGCGTCGTACTCGCCACGAATAAAATGGCATTGCGATGTAAAAATGAATGCTTCTTGTTAACGATCGCCGTAAACGCGCCATTGCCAGCATATGTGAGAAATGACCCACGGCAGCCTGGAGAAGAACAGAGGCAAAATCCAGTGCGATACTCCTCCGCACTCTCTGTAATGCAGCTATAATCCCATGTCATTTCTTCCCCGTACGCGATGTCCCTGACGGTGAACATTCCGAGCGTTAGTTTCCCATCCTTTGTGAATGTCACCGTCTGACAGTTCGGTTCACACGAATGCGAGAGTCGAGACGCAAAACTACCTTTGTGCATCGCCTCAACAAAAATGACGTGTCGCCCACGTTCGTCATGCGCCGGTCGCTCCAGCGTGATGTTGAAAAAAGACGGAAGGTTCATGTTTGGAAAGGACTTTTTGATGGCATCCTGACGCTCGTACCACTGCCACGGCGGATACATTTCGCCAATGTAATAGTTGACGAGTGTCCCAGCCTTTAAGCCGTTCGGATTGATGCACACGACGCCAGTGCCTTTCGGATGGATCCTGAACTGCACTCGATGTTCCTTCGGAACGAGTTCTACCTCTGAAACCGCATCTTGCGCGGTCTGAACCGCCGTTGAGGTGTCACCTTTAGCCTTTTTAGCTTTCTTCTTCGTCGACTCATTCGCCCGCTTCTCCGCATCGGCGTCGTCAAGCTCGTGAATCGCCCACAGAAGTGCCCGCGAAGCCGCCGCGGCGTCCTCGTCTCCCTCTGCGATTGCATCTTCGAGCACGCGCTCGGCGAGTACGGCCGCGTCCCATCCGTCGTCACCGAGCGTGTGCAGTTTCGGTAACAACCGTTTCACAAAAAACTCCACGCGCTTGTCGCGCCTATCCTCTCCCGCGAACGCCGGTGCGGTCGCCACGCTCGCCAAAATCGCCTCACGCGTGTAGCAATCGACCCCCCACAGCGGCCGCTCTTCGACGTCGACGCCCAAGCGCATGGGCGATCCGAGCGCCTCGCGCGACGTGACGGGAGCCGCCGGCTTACGCACGACGCGATTCCCCACCACGCTCACCTCTCCGCTCCCCGCGTCTTCGTCCACCTCCCGCTTCACCCCACCGTTCGCGTCCTCCGCGTGACCGACGACGTCCGTCCACCCGTCCGAGGTCGACGTTCGCAATCGATCGAACAACGTCTCCGCGTCCGCCGCGCTCACGCCCACGCCCGGGACGTACTCCCCCGTTCCCAGTCCTTCGTACGGCGTCGCGTCGTACGGCGCTCGACGCCATCGCGCGCACGCGTAATACGGTTCGGTGCGCGCCAAGAGATCGAACGTTCGACGGAGCTCTCGCGCGCGAGACGATGTCGTTCCGTTCGAGGCGCGCGCGGGAGCCATCCTTCGTGCGAAAACTCTCGCGCCGCGCCGCGCTCTCGCGCGCGATGCCGGCACGGAGACGCGGGTCGATCGGCGTCGGTGCGCGCGCGCGTTCGCGGGCGGATCGGTCGGCGTGTGCGGACGACGAATGGCGCGACGCGCGTGTTCAGTCTTCGACGAGAGTTTGTTACAAGTGTGTCCGACCATCTACGGGCGCCGAGTGTGCGACACCAACGCCCGGTTCGACGCACGCACGATTGGCGTGAAACCTCACGCGAAGCTCACTCGACGATCTTCTTTGGACCGGCGTAGACCTCGCTCGGGACGCCGGTTATGAAGGAAAATAGTCCGCGACGAGGCTTGACGTCGGCGCCGTCGCTCGGCGCCGTCGCTCTCGGCGCGTTCGCGAGCTCGAGGGACAGTTCCTCGATCCGTTTCATCGCCCTAGCGAGCTCGGATTTCGTCTCCTCCTCGCTCATTTTCGCAGCTTGCGTCTCTCGCTCCAACTTTGCGAGCTTACATCGAAACGCCTCGGCGTTGGCGTTTGCCTCCTCCACTCTCGTCGCCCACTTTCGTTCGAAAACCTCATCCTGCTGCAACATCCGACGCTCTAATTCGAGCTCTACCGCCTTCAAGCGTTCGCTCGCGCGTCGCCCGCGTTCACCATCGCCTCGCTCGCGCTCCACCGCTCGCTCCGCCTTGTCCAACCTATCCGAAAGCCGCGACGTGGCCTCTTCGATCGCCCTCGCGCGTCCCTCTCCTCGCTCGCTCGCGCACTCCCTCGCCGCCGCCTCTAACGCGCGGTCCTTACGCTCGATCTCGATCGCGAGCTCTCGAGCCGCCGACCGATACCCAGCCAGTTCGAGTTTCAGGTCGTCCACGACTTCCTCCAAGACGCGAATCCGCGTCGTCCCCTCGTCATCGCTCAGGACGAACTCGGGGCGCACGGTGACGCGAAGCGTGACGCACTGTTGGTCTACATCCGACGCGTGCGTCGTCGTCGACGCGTGCGTCGTCGTCGACGCACGTTCGGAGGAGCGCTCGCGCGGCGCGGAGGTTGAATCCACATCGCGCGCGGACGACGGCTGTTCGCACGTCTCACGCGCACCGTTCCGCGCGTCGTCGGCGGGCTCGTCGGATGCGCGAGGCGGTGGAGGTTTCGCCTTGGTTCGCTTGCGGGGCATGCGATTCGGGACGCGACGACGTGTGACGCGGGGAACGCGAAGCGCTCGAGGCGAATAAATCTTCTTTTAAAACAATCTTCATCAATTCGATGCATCCGCACGCAACGCGCGATTACAGCATGCCAAAGAACGGGTTATTGATGGCGCCGTGAAGTTCCTCGCCCGCGGTCTTGAGCAAGACCTGATCGACGGACTCTTGAGGTAAGACGAGACGTTTCTCGCCTGCGTCGTCGACGATTTCCTTGAAACCAAACTCCAAGAGGTAGATCTCGCCTCCGACCGCGACGACGCGCTTTTGAAACGCTGCGTTGGAGAGCCTGATCGATCTGTACTTTTCCTCGTTCGGCGCTCGGGCGATATTTCCGAGATAGGTCAGCAGCGTGTTGAAGCACGTCGTCACGGCGTCGGCGTCCTCGGCGAAAGCCTTCTTAATGTCCACGAGGTGACGTCTTAAATTTTCCAGTTTGGACACCGGCTTGACATACATCCCCGCCTTGGCCTTGCGCTCGACCTCTTCCATCATCTCCTTAGCCCTCTTTTCCTCTCGCTCTCGCTCCTGTTCGAGCTCCTCTGGCGAAAGCTCCTCCGGCAAGCCAAGCTTTCGTCGTCGCTCCTTGCGATCCTCGTCGATTTTCGCTCGAATCTTCGCCCGCGCGCGCTCCATCTCTTCCTTCTCCGCCGCTCGCTGCTCGGCGTTTCGCTTCAAACTGAGCTCATCCTCCATTCGCTTCGCCTCGACGAGCTCCTTACCCGCACGAATGCGCTCCTGCTCTCTCAACCGCTCGCTCTCCTTCTCCTCCGCCGCTCGTCTCGCCGCGGCGTTTCTTCGCAACTCGTCCGCCTTCGCCCTCGCCTCCTCCGGCGTCAATTTACTCACCGTCTTCGCCTTTGCCCCCTCGTGCGCCTCGTCTGGAACCAACAACGGTTCGTTCACGTCCGGGTCGTCCTCGTGTCGCTCGATCCAATCGATCGCCCGTTCGCTCGAATCCGCCTTTGAAAAGTGCAGCGCCCGAATCGCCTTGTTCCTTCCGAATCCCATGAGTTCCGTCAACTCTTTCAGTAAATCCTCGCGGACGCGCGGTTCGATCATTCGAGGTCCTTCATCCGCCGTCGTCGTCGCCGTCGCCGCGCCGCTTTGCTCGCTCGCCGGTCCGTTCTCGTGCGCATCTTCCATTAATGAATCTTCATCGCCGTGAAAGTTTTCGTGTCCCGTCGCCGCGCCGTGCGTCTTCGCCGCGTCTAAGTCGTCGAAGGTCTCTCCGCATTCCCCGCACTTCACGCGCATCGGTCGTTCGATCGCCGTCTTCGCCGCGCGGCGACGGTTTGTGCGGAAGAGTCCTCTCGAATGAGATCCTGGTGGTCGGCGCGTTCGCGGCGCGCGTCGTCGGGCGCGCGGGCCGTGGCCGTGGTGCGTCGTTGTGTACTGATTACATCGGACGGTCAACGGGTCCATCGAGATTTTGAGGAAAACAAAAGTCGCGTGATGAGCGAGCGTGATGAGCGTGGTCGTCGAGCGCGTCGCGGCGACGACGACGAGTGGGCTCGTTCCGTTTGTTTATTCGGAATCGGAACCCGCCGACTCGCGCGCGAGCTCCTCGGCGAGCTCGCGTTCAGCCGCGGCGACGGCCTCGTCGGCCTCGCGAAGAGCGCGGGCTTCTTCATCATCTTCATCTTCGTCGTCGTGATCGAACTCGGACGCCTCGGCGGGTTCGTGTTCGTCGTCGAGAGAGGCCCAAGCGCCCGTGGCCGTGGTGGCTGATTTCACCAGGCTCGCATCCGCCGCCTCCTCCTCCGCCGAGGCAGTGGTCCACGATTCGCTGAACAAACCCGCGCCATGGAAGCTGGACCAGGCAGACTTGCGATGCTCTGCGGTCGGACCCTCGGCGGTCACCGCGGCCGGAGGCTCGTGCTCGGCGTACGGCGCCTCCAGCGGCGCCGCCACCTTGGCGCGCTTCGGCGCAACCTCCTCCGTCGCGGGTGCGATCACGCTCTCGTCCTTCGGAGCGACCTCCTTCGAGGGTTCGAATGCGTCGGAGACTGCCTCGAAGGAAAAAGTCGTCTTCGGTCCCTCGACCATCTTTCGCTTCTTTGGTTGTTCGTCGACGAATTTGGTGCCAAAAATGTCATGTCCCCCCTGCTGCGCGCGCCAAATCTTCTGCGACTCCCTGAGCTCACGATTCACCGCCGCCGGAGCGACGACTTCGGCCGCCTTACTCGCGAATCTCGCGCCCGCCCCCACCGCCCCTCGTTGCGTCGTCGGTCTAGAATCCAACGTCAGCGGAGCGCACTCCTTGCGCGCGATGGCTTCCTCCAGGCGCTCCACGAGCGCATCCTTCGACCCACCCGGATTCACCCCTCTCGCTCGGCACGCCTGTCTGAGCTCTTGCAACGTCAACGTTTTCGGATGAATCGTCTCGAATCTCGCCGCGACGTTCGCCAATTTCCCATCTCTGTTCGTGTTCCCGCTCGCGCGCACCGTCGCCGGGGCGACGCGCGCGTTGAACAGATTCGCCCCTTGGTGTTGCGCCGCCCTGTTCTCGTTCCACGTCCGCCGCGTTCGTCCGTCCGAGAACGGTGCGTTTTCATCGCCGCGCATGATCGCCTCCACGCCCGTGCTCGGCGCGTGTTTCACGACCGGGTGACTCGGATCGACGTTTCGTAATTTCACCGGTCGCGGGGCGTGGGACATGAATCCGCCGTCGTCGGCGCCGTCGTTGGGCGCGCGGACGGTGCGCAGGGGCGAGCGCGCGATGTCGTTTTCATTCGTCGTCATGACGCGCGCTCGAGGGACGCCGCGCGCGCGCGGTGGGCGCGACGTGCGTCGATGTGTGCGGACGCGTGACGGTTCTTGTCGTTCCCCTCAGTGCGCGGTCGTCGCGCCGGCGCCGCGGTTGAATGTCTATGACGGGTAATCTATCTTTCATCGCGCGCTACTCGGCGACTTGACTCGATTTGGATGGGGCGGACCACGCACCCTCGACCTCGGCGCGGGAGCCGTGACGCGAGGCGGATGACGACCCGTTCGTGGACGCGCCTCCGCCTGGCGCGTACGAGCCAACGCCGATGGCGGCTAAGAACTTTTTGGTGTTCTTGTACGGACGGAATCGGCGAGGCTTATTCTTCGCCGGTGCGTGAGACGTGTGAGATGGATGTATCTGCGTCGCGTTTTCCTTCCGCTCCGAGCGCTCGATCTCGCCGGGTGCGGACACCGAGAGTCCGCGTGTCTCCTCGACCACGGACGCCGGCGTCGGTTCGCGTCCGGCGTCGCTCTCCGTGCCGCTCGATCGCCGTTTCAGCATCATTGCCTTCGCCTTGATTCGATCAGCTGTGCGCTGGAATACAGACTTGGCGTCGATTTTATGTTCGACGTACTTGCCTCGTATGCCGACGAGTGATTTCAGCACACTCCACACGAGGTGGTTCTTGAGCTCAGCAGTTAAATCGCGCCAACGCCCGCGGTAATCGTTGTACGCAAAAGTGTCGATGCCGAATTCGTAATCCCTGAAAGCCCTCCTAATACCCTCGTAGGTCAATTTCATGTGCAAGGGGTGGATGCGGAACTCACGTAAGAAGACAACCTTAGCTTTGCTCGAGTTGTCTTCCTGTTTCGCGACGTCCTCATGTTTTACCTTGGACTGCTGGGCTACTGCGTCATTCTCCCATCGCCACTCCCTTCGGTGCGGATTTCTGGCCGGCGATACCACTGGGATTTGAAGTGGCAATAAATTTCCAACACGAGCGTTCGACGCTCGCCGTTCGTCGATACTCTCCCTAGGAGATTCGGGTAAGTCTGTCAGGTCCGATGCAGGGCGTTTGTACGCTTTTTTAAACGCGTCGTAAGCGCCCGTAGAAGTCGATGGGAAGAAGTATTTGTGAACGACCTTATACTGCGAGTGCTTTATGTTCACCTGAAACGGGAGAACACTTAACTCCAAGTGATCGTACACAGGTCGCTCGGGAGCCGAGCCAGCACGCACGGAGAAGAGGTCGATGAGAGGCGTGTCGAAATCGGCCTTCCCCTGGGACCAACGAGAAAACATATCCTCGCGATCGCCTTGATCGAGGGAAACGAGTCCTAATCCATGAAGTTTGAATCTCAGCGTCCCCGACGAATCCACCTGACGTTCCCGTGAGAGAGAGAGACGCGAAAGAGAGGCTTGTATGCACGGATGACCGCCCGCGACCAAAGTCCACGCCGCGAGCTCAACATCAAGGCTCAAACGGATGGCTGAACGACGGCGGTGCAAGCGCACTAGCTCCTCCGCCTCAGCGATCGCCGCGAGAACTCGAGCTTCCGACTTCTCCGCCTTTGACCAAAGACTGTCCATTTTTCCAAGAATCTTCTGCTTCTCGCTCGGAGCAAGCATGCTGGCGCGCCGGTAGTTCTTCTCCACGCTCTCTGCGGCCCAGCGCGCCGCAATCAAACTCCTCATTGGCTCGGCGACAACTCCCGAAGACGCGAGAGCCATGGAATCCAAAAACGTTCTATCTCGACTCTGTAATAGCTTCGCGGCCTGAGCACTCGGTCGCGGTCTTTTCACAGTCGTTGGAGTCAAGAACAGACCCTCGATGACATCAATCAACACGGCGTATTGGTTCGAGTTCATTTCGGCGATGATCTCAGGAGATCGCACGGAGAACTCACTCACGGGCTCTGCTTGCACTTCATGCACGTCTGGAGTGTCGTCGGCATCGTGCAAATCCTCAAGTCCCACTTCGTCATATGCGTAAAGCGCGTCGTCAGTGATGGAACGAGACACGGTGGTTATGACAGTTCTGTACTCGAACACCATCGTGCCAGGAGCGAAAATTCGGCGTAATAGGGATCCAGATTTTTGCCTTTCTGCTTCGCCAAACACATCATCTCGAATTAAGGAGACTTCGTTACCGGCAGAAGTCTTCTCTCGGAGCCATTGCACGCCGGCACTCAAGTCAACATTCGTCGGCGCGACGTAAGCTTGCACTTGCTGCAAAGAGACTGTAACGAGACGTTTAGGATCCGATACTCCGTCTTCAACAGTCCTACCCACCACAAGGCCACCTTCAGCGGCGAGCAACATTCTCCCAGCGGCGTTGTTACCCTTCAAGTTGAATTGTGGAGCAGTAATGCTGATCACAAAGAGCACCTTTGTGTCGGGCGCGCGCTTCGGAGATACACCCAAATCGGAGTCTTTCGCATCCGATTCTGCTCTCGCAAGTGTCTCCAAAGTCGGGACTTCGCCTAGAATCGTATCTAACGCGCGAGTTTTCATATTAGAAAGCGAGACGCGATTGGCCATCTCGACGATACGCTCGCATTCAGTCCAAGACGGTTCTCTTCGATAATTTTGAGCCGCAGCCCAAAGCTCATTGATCCATCCAAGAACAGAGTTTCTCTGTTTCGCTTCGATCAGAATCCTCGGAGTCTCGACCTCGATCTGAATACCCTCGCTCGACACGGACTCTTCTGCTTTCTGAATGATCTCTACGCGTCGAGTGTCTAGAACCAAGGTGGGATCAGTGGACGTCGGGCGGGCTCCCGTCGAGTGCGGCGACGTTCCTCCCATGATCGGACTAGTCGTGCTCCCTTGCAACATGTCCTTGATCACGTCATCCAGCTCGGCGAAATTGAGCCGCCTCGAAATTGATTTATTCGCCAAACGGAATGATCTCATCGGACTTATCGCCTTGACTTCTGAATCTTCTGGCCCCTCCGGGACGTGGAACTGCGACGCGTTTGCTCGAATGGTGAACTCGATGTTGGCGCGAGGCGCCTTTTTCGCCAGAACGTTGACCGAGTGGAGAGAAAAGCACGCACCGAACGCACTTTCTGTTTCGTCGCTCGATGAGTTGACCACGTGAATCACGTTAGACGTGATGACTGTATCCACGCTCTTGAAAAGATCCACCAAGCTGATGGATTCTGGGTGTTTGACTCTGCGTGGAGCGCCCCACGGTCGGAAATTCCAAATATTGCGGAGCGCAATCATCGGACTTTGCATCGCACGCTTCCACCTGCTCGCAAACTCAACGTCATCTGGAGTCAGCGCGAATGTGGGTTGAGAGTATTCGTTCGGCGAAACTCTCGATGTCTGCTCTCTAATTCGCTCCACGAAACAGTCCAACTCTGCACTCTGCTCCACGTGTTTTTTTACGAAATCCTCCTTAGAATCAAGTGTTACGTCGAGATCGACGAAGCACGCCGTGGACGACGTCAAGTCTTTTGAGAATAATTCGTGTCCCGTCGCTGAATCGTGCCGGTACAGAGTGCGATGACCATCGCCTTCATCAAGTTTTGACTTGAACTCGTACGCAGCCGATACACACATCACTGGGAAGACAACCATGTGGTGCTTCGCTACGTCTTCGCTCGTACTCGAGGGGTTGCTGGGAAGCGGACAATCCTCGTTGTCTTGAATTCTCGATACGCTGAAATCTGAACAGCGCAACAACATGTGACGAGGTCGAAGATTGAGTTCCCACACATCGGCATAGAATTCGAGTTCGCTTCTAAACTTTTCGCCACCGTGCGCCCCTAGATTCTCGATTCGTCCTTGAGCATCCATCTTCAATGACGTTTGCATTAAATGCACGCGCATCATCCCGCGCCACGTATGTCTCAACATATCCCACCAGGGCATGCTTGGTGGACGGGGGTCGGCGGCGTTGTACTCCAGCGTTGGCGGTCGTCCTCCACCACCACCAGGCAGGTGCTTATGAAGTCGCGGAAGGACGAGTCTCGTCGTGAGCTCTCGAGACATGTTGAACAGGTACGGTTCAATCGCCGTCGCCATAGAGATTTCTGCGCCAACGAGTCTGAGATCGGCATCCGTGAACCACATGGGTTGTGGACGAGACGGAGTGTCCGGCCCGTTCGTCTTTGACCAGCGCCTCCTTCCCACACCGATTACCACCTGCCCATCTAGGATGTGTGGCGCGTACTGCCTCGCCTGAACAAAGCTTCCCGCAAGCATCGCTTCGTCACACGCGAAGAGAGGTCGCTCGTCCAAATCTGCGACGCAGACGCGCACGTTGGTCATGTTTGTATTCATGGTGAACACGTTCTGCATTTGTAACGCCACAGAGTTGCTGTAAGGATTATCAACGCGACGAACGATCTGAGCGGATCGCTGGGCGAGCTCATCGCCGGCCCCTTTTCCTCCGCCCCAGACGCCAACTGATCGGATTCCACCCATGGTCATGTGAAGCGCACTTCCGCCGCCCGTGCGCAAAAAATCCTTATGATGGAAGACCAACGATGTCACCTCTTCAATCGCCTCTTCGCTCGACTCTTTGAGTGCCATGCTGGCCATGCAACCACCTAACACGGCCTGTCGCGCCCGTAAAAATCTCTCCAAACGGTTTGTATCTTCAACATCGATTTCAATATTCGTCACCAGAACGTCAATCTCGTTCACCGGTTGGAATGGAGACGACTCGTCAAAAATTGGCTCCTCAGGGGTCATAGAAACGCGCGCTTTCTTCGTTTCTTTCTTCGCTCCCTCGCAGATGACGTCCCTCAACGCCTGTTCACCGGCAATCATAGCTTGCGCCGCATCTCCAAGGTCTAAACCCGCGGGGAGCATGAGTTTTGCACCCTCAACCGTCACGCCAAACTTGCGGCGTTCGCGCACGTCCTCTTCTTCTTCATGGACTATCGCTTGGACGTGAGGTCGAGATCGACCCTCGCAATCCAACTCAAATATGACGAGATTAATCGTCGTGATGTCGTGGCCGTTTAAGCCGAAAGTCCCTTCTCGAACACAGCAACTCTTCTTGAGGGAATTCGCTTCTAGCGCTGTGAATGATATTTGCGCACAAGCGCCAGGTGTAATGAAGAATGATCCACTGACGCTTCGTACGTCGATTGTGACATCAAACTTCTTTTTCACCTCAGTGGATACTCGGTTGACATCAGACGGCGTTTTTGGGGACGGCTTCGCGGACTTTGCTAGATGTGCTAGCTTGAGCGCCAAGAAGTGCACATCAGGCTCCCAATCGAATTCGACACCGTCAACGGCAACGTTCGCTCGATTCTCCTCTCCCGTTTTGTACTTTACATCGAAGTTCCCGAAGAGCATGACACGATTACTCTCTACCGCAGTGGACTCGTAATCGATTCGACTTACCCACGTATCATCCTCGTTCTCACCGTCTAAGGACTGTCCCGGCGACGACGCTTTTCCGGAAATGGTGTCAAACATGGAAATTGTGAAACCACCAGCGACGACGTCTATGTCCGTTTCTTGGCGGGTGATTTCGGCAAGCGGACACATCAATTCGAGCGCGCAGATGACAGCCTTGTTGCCTCGCGAGTTCTGTGGTATTTCACCGAATGTTGAATACGGCGTCATCGAGCACTTTGCGCGCACCGCGGTGTCCACCATGGACAAGCGCATCATCTTGGCGCTCGGTGACCTTGTCGTGTGCTCTTTATCGTCAGATTTGGGAGCCTTGGCCGCGGACACCGCCGCCTTCATGCTCGACGCGGCTCGTTCAATCTTCAGTACTAGAGCAGCGGCTTCGTCCATGTCCACATCGAGCGTTGATCCCTCCAATTCCACAGCGCTTCCTTCGCTCTCAGAGCTCGAGAAGCGCGCGCTTTCGAATTGCACAACGGGATGAAATCCAGGAATCCCAAATTGTGCGCGTGATAGCGTGCACACACCGCGCTTACATGATACATTCATATCCACCACGAGCTCATTCTGTGCGTCTTCGACTAACTTCCCGTATCGTCCTATAATTTGTTTCGTGGAAAGCACACACGTCGCCGAACCCTCGTCGTCGAAGGCGTGCACACTAAACGACTTGACGCAAGAAGCGTGCGCGTCGATGACGTCCCACGGTATGTCGCTTCGACGCTTTGAAGGAGGTTTCGTCTCGCCGTCCTTCTTCTTCGATTTCGATCTCGACTTGAGAGCGACGATGAGATCAGCCAAATCAGCGTGATGCCTGAGTTCGCACTTGTCGATCTCAAACGCCGCCGTCGCCGGTAACTTTTCCTCGTCGTCCAGAATCTTCTCCGATAAAGCCAACGCCATCGACGCGCTCATACCGGTGCAGATTGCGAGCTTCTTGTGCTTATCGTGAATGAATTTTGCATCTTCAGCTGAGAACGTAAACTCCGCCCACGGGTCACTCCCGAACGAAGTCAAGGCGAAGGGCGACTGCGTCGTGTCCCTCTTGCGAAACAACCTGAAACCTCGCCCGGATTCGCTCAGTCTCTCGACAGAGCCTTGAACTTTATTCAAAACAAAACTAATCGGCGCGTTCTCATCCCTGTCTTCTATAAGAACTCGCTTGAACTCCACCGCGCACTTCCTCGGCATTTTGAGCAACCCCTGGACGGCTTTGTGTGGTCCCTTTGTCGACGTGGACGGCTTCTCTACGACACTATCGCGTGAATTGTTCACCCCGCCGCCGCGACGTTTGACTAGAGACAGCGTCGCCCCACTCAACCCGGCGTGCACGGGCACGATTGCCTTCGACTCTGCGTCGAACTCAGCGGCGACGTGCACGTTGGCATCCGTCAAGCTCCAACCGTCTTTCCCTCGTAAGACACGAGCGGTGATGAGCGATTTTAACCGCGCGCTCGTGGATCCTGACGATTCAAACGTCATCTTGTCACAAAAGAACGTGTCCACGCTCAAATCGTCCTCTTCGCGAACGGTGAGCGACACCACCGTGACGTCGACAAAGGACGCGATGCCCTTGATCAACCGCCATTTGTTCCGTGTCATCCCTCCACCGCTCGACTTTGGCTTTTCCTTGGATGCGCTCGGATACTTCTCTGGCATCTCACTCATCTTCTCCTCGCCACTCGCGCGGCGGGTGACGATCTCAATCCCGCTAAACACGAACGCCATCCTGAGCGACCCCACGCCGAACCGTACGAATCTGCGCGCGCTCCTCGGCGTACCCTCCTCCGACTGCGATCCCGGGCTCCCCGCCCTCGGCGTCACGTCCGCGAACTCCGTGAGCGCGCGCCCGTTCCCAAACATACCGTTCCCAAGTCCTCTTGCGCTCACCGGAGGCAAACCATCCCTCAGATGTTTCCCTCTCACCTTTCTGAGCGCGAAATTTAACAACCACGCGAGCGCCGTCGCCGCGCTCCCCGCGTACGCCGCCTCCTCGATCGACACGCTCCGTATTCGCGACCTTTTATCACCGTCAAACGTTATCTTTATCCCTCGCACGCGCGCCAGTCCCACGCTCTCGATCGTCACCGCGATTCCTCGCTTACTCGCGTGACTCGCCTGCGTTTTCGAAACCGCGCCGTCAGTCGCTCCGCCTCTCTGAATTAATCCAATCCAATCCATCCATTCCTCGTTCCCATCGCGTCGAGCGTCCGCGCGCGCGGCGACGCGACGCGTGACGACGACTGCCGTCTTCGCCAACGCCCGCGCGCGGTCGATGCGCGCGCGCGCGCGTCGTGCGCACCGTGACGGAGATGATCCGAGCCAAAGCGTTGGTGCAAGAGAAAACCAATGCGATGGCGACGACGACGGCGATCGCGATCGTTCCGGAGCCCAGGTAGAGGGTCGCGAGCTCGCGCGACCGCTCGGGGAGTTGATCCATCGCGCTCGACGGGAGGTTGGGGAGCGCGGACGCGGGGAGGTGTGAGGGACGCGCGGCGAGGCGAAGGACCCAACCGCGCGCGGACGCCGCGTTACACGGAATGAACGCGATTACGTGCGCTAGAGTGAGACGCGACGGGATACGTGCGATGGAATCGTGCGAGCGAAATTGCGCGCACGCGACGCGACGGCGTCTCGCGCGTCGAAAAGACGACGCGCGTGATGGAAGCTGGCGAGACGAGCGAGCGCGTCGGCGGCGCACCGGCGGGCGCCGACGCGCTCGTAGCGCTCACTCGCTCGCTCGAGGGCGTCTATCACGCGAGGCGCGATAGATGTGAGCTCGTCATCATCGCTCGCGGTATCGATGAGCGATCGCGCGGCGATGACGTACGCCCTGGCTTGGACGCGCAAGTCGTCGCTCGCGAGCAAATCGAGCAATCGCACGTCCAACGCATCCCGAGCGAGTTGGGCGTGGGACGAACCCAGGGCGAGCCAGCACTCGCACACAATGCAGAACGCTCGCGAACGCATCATTTCGAGACTACGCTCGGCGGCTCGAAGCTCGAGAGGAAGCGCGCGCATCAACGCCGACGTCGGCGCGCCAGCATTCAAGTGCGTCTCGGCGAGCGTGAGCTCGGCGCGCATGGCGGAATGTTCATCCTTCACCGCGTTGGCTTCGTCCACGATAGCAACCAATGCTTTCTGTGCCTCGTCGAAATCGCCCATCAACCGTTTCAAGTCGGCCAGTAACCACTCGGACTCGAAACGAAGCGCGTCGCCCACGCCCACCGCGTCGTCTACCAAATCGCGCATGCGAAGCGCCGCATCGCGCGCCGCGGCGTAGTCTCCGACGCCGACGGCGCGCGCGTACTCCAGCCTGAAGAATGCGATGGCAGTGATCCTGTTGGACGACCCCCGGGGCCCGAACATTCGCTCGACACGTTCACAGATGTCGCTTGCAGCTTCGAAGCCTTCGCATTCGCTCGTGGAAGCGATGAGAGACGCGCAACTTGCTGCTGTCTCGTCAGCAGTAGCGTCGCGATCGTGGTATATCTGCCTTGTAGCGTACATAGAACCAATTTGTTTGCATCCGTATACGTTCCAGCCCTCGGCAGCGAGCGTGGAGGCGGTTCCTGCCAATGACTTGAACGCCATCGCCGTGGAGCTCGTCGTGTAGGCGCTCATAGGAATTGTCGGGAAGCCTTTTGGCGGCGGGTACATATCGTTCCCGACGCTCATCGACGCTACATTTCCACCGGCGACTCGTGACATCGTCACAGCCGCAATAGACGCGGGAGCAGCGGCGACCAGATGCGAGAGGTGCCTCATCAACTCAACATCCGCCAAACTTTGCGTCGCCATTGCTGGCGTGGAAACATTGGAGTCTGCTCTCCGCGTCGAATGCGCCCTGGAGTCCGCAATCATGCGGGACTTTGATTCTAAACTATTGGACGGATTGTCAATCGCATGCTTTATCATCGCGAGGGAGGCGTACGCGACCAGGTGCGGTGAGGCGATATCGGCGGCTTGCGCCGCTAATCGCCGCAACAGCGTGGGCAGTTGCGCATCTCTACGAAGCGCTCTTCCCGACGTTTCCACGGGCGCTCGCGACAGGAGCGCCGTCGTTAATGCCAATGCGTGCGCTAGCGATGCCTCATCACCATTTTGCTGCGCCGTTCGCACCGCCTCCGATATTGCCACCATGGCTTCGTCCACGTGCGAAAATTCGAGTTGCATTGAAGCGAGCGCTAAGAGCGCCGTTTGTAAACGCTCTCGCCCCGCGTTGGCGCTCTCGAATCCACCGATGACTCTCGATCGACCTGGTTCAGATAGTAAATCATCGTGCTCGCCGCTCGTGTCGAAATGACGATGTAAGTGTTCGATGGCGCTCGAGTAATCTCTCCTGCGCAGCGCCTCTGCGTGTTTGAGATAGTGCAACGTCGGGAGCTCAGGTGCGAGCTCGCTCAAGGTCTCCAGCGCATCTCTCGGGAGTACCGAATCGGCATCGACCGATCGGGTGTCGTACTTTTCTACCGCTCTCACCGCGAGCGCAGTGAGCGCGTCCGGGGCCTCGCACGCGAGCAGCGATGGGTCGTCCTCCTCTCCCGAGTCGTCCTCTTCATCGCACGCCCGAGCGAACGCGTCGGCGTACGCTCGTGTGGACTCCAACAACTCGATCGTCGCCTCGAACGGTAAAAGATCAAACCCCAAGCAACATCTCCTCAGGAACAATCCGATCGACGACCAGCTGTCGACATGGATGCCCTCGAATCCGAGTTCCCGTTCGACACCCTCCGCGCGCGCGTTCGCCGCTATTGCCCGCGCGTCCTCAAAAAACGCCTCTAAATCATCCAAACTCTCGCTCACCGCGAACAACTCTTCCCTCAATCTCCGCGTGCACCACCACTCGATTCGCTTCATCGTCCTCTCATCCGTTTCATCGCCGAACGAGTGCCTCACCGCGCTTCGCGTCGCTCGACACAGCGCTCTCGGCCCGCGCGCGCGGACCCCGCGCCCAGTCTCTTCATCGCTCTGCCACGCGCGCGCGAACGCCCGACGCATCCGCATCACCACCCGCGACGTCGTAAAGTCCAACTCGCGTCCGTCACCGCTCGACACGAGTCCCGGGAACGGATCGGTGACGGATAAAACATCTCTCCATCGATGTTCGAATGAATCAACCTCGAGCGTGAGTTTCGTCGCGGTGACGCACCGCGCGACGTCGCTCGCGCTCGGCGCGCTTCGCGTTCGAACGTGCTCGAGGGCGATGTCGGAGACCCCGGTCGAGTCGTGCGGGGATTCCGCCATCGAGGGGGACGAAGAGGAATGAGGTGGGAATGGGAAGAGACCGTCTGTCGCGCGCGCGTTTGAATCAAAGCGCCAAAGACGGCGCGCGTTGGTACATATGTGCAAATTAATCTAATGGGCGTCGACGCGGGTTTGGGTCTTGGACAAAATGCGCGTGAGCCAGTCACCCATGTGGGTCTCTCTTCGACCGCCGGCGGCGCTGGCGAGGTGGGCGAGTCGAGCGAGCACGCGTTGGGCTCGCGAGGAGCGACGGAGGTAAGACATGTGCTCCTCGTAGTGGTCGTCCAGGAGAGCCTTCACGAGACGAATGGCGTGCAGTAGGGAGGCGTTCGAGGCGCTCACCTTGCTCGGCAGCGGTGAGACGTACTCCTCTACGGCCACGGCGGCGAGAACGTCCAGGGCTCTCGCGTCTAGCGCGGCGGCGCCGAAGCGTTGCCAGCCGATGAACGCGAGTGTACGCAAGACGCGAAGCGCCGCTTCCTGGAGTACACCACTCTGCTCAGCCGACATCGGCAACACGAATGAATGCTTGATATCGAATCCCAAACCATTCTCCTCCACGCAATCGCTCCTTAGACAACTCAGGATGGCACCAAAAAGCGTCGCGTTCTTTCTTCGTTCGGAAGACGGCGGTTTTTCCAACCCTCGCTCAACTTCGAGGGGCTCGCAGAGGAGCGCCTGAAACTCGAGCGTTGGTGCGAGCGCTCTGACAAGCATCAGGGCTAAAAACCTCGTCCCACTCGGGGCGACTGGCTTCAAACATGATCCAAATCCTGAGCGTTTGCGCGCTACGGCGGCAAATGCGCCTCGTTCGCATTCCACATCGCTCGCGAATCGTATAAGCGCAATCAAAACGACGTCTACGACTTGCCATTGACCCTCACACTTTGCATCGTGCAAAATACGAATCAAGGTTTCGAGAAATGGCGCAGCTTCTAGAGAATCACCGTCTTGACTCGCCGCAAAGCGCCTCGCAGTCTTGGACAGTTTTGGTGTGGCTGCCGCTGCGTGATTGGTCAGAACCATGGGCGCCGGCACGAATATCCGTGAGCTCTGAGCCCTGGGATGCGGAACTAGCGTGCCCATACCCGCACCACCGATGCCTGGAATCCCCGCCAGCGAGGGCGGCGGAGCTCCGTGGGCCGTGACACTCGTCACCGCGAGCCTTTTGCTTCGCGCGCCGCACGCGCCTAACACGATGCTCATACTGCGAGCGTCAATCATCGCCAAGGCGGAAAGAACTCGCAGCACGGACGTCAGGTGCTCGTAATGCGACGACGACGCTATAACCATCGACGTTTTCACTATGGACTCGATCAGCGCTCGCATGAGGGCGGGCGTGGCATCAGGATTTTTCGCTAAACGCATCAGTGCCTCTCGCACGGGCTGTATCAGCTCCACGTTAACAGCCGATGAATCGCTAGAGGTGGCTAAGAACCTGCTCACTTCCGACGGAACCTCGCCCATAAGTCGAGCGAACGCACTATCGGTCAAGGCGTATCCGCCGACTGCGCCCTGATAAAGCGTCGCTGCGACGTCCGGTGGCGCCATCGGCAGGGTCAACGTGAGCGTCCGAGGCTTTGGAATCGATCGCACACCGTCACCGTCATCCGCCACGCCGAGCTCACCGGGTGTGCGAGTACTCGCCCCACCCGTGATACCACTCGCCCCACCCGTGCGCTGCCGCTTACTCGCTCCTTGTACCTCGCGACTCTCCGAGACGTCTCCGCTAGGCGGTCTCTTCTGTCCAGCGGTGGCTCGCGCTCTGCGCTCCGCTCGGACCTCGGCCGCGAGCCTCGTCCGCTCCTCGTTCGCCGCTCGCAATTTCGCTCGCGCGTCGTCCTCAGCGCGTCGTATCTCAGCCACCTCTTCCTCCTTAAACGCGAGTTTCGATCGAAGCGTCGTCAACTGCTGCTTCAAATCTTGCACCTCGGCTCGCGCGACGGCGCTCGCCGCTGACACCCCACCTTTGTTGGGAGATTCACCCCCGTAACGCGTCTGCGGCGCCCCTCCACCAACGATGACGTTCCCACTCGTCCCCGTTCCTCGCCCGCTCGTCTCTCGACGCAAGTTTTCATTCTCCCGCTCCACCATGTCCAGCTTGGACCGCAACATCCCGAGCCGAGCGTCTCGCTCCACCAACATCTGCCTCAACGCCGACGCGTCCGTCTCCATCGAGCCGGACGCGGTCCTTCCCACCACACCCGTCGTCATCGGCGGCACCGTCGCCACCCTCGTCCCAGTCTCCGTCGCGCGTCCGCCGTTCCGACTCTCGTCCGCCCGCCGCGTCGCGCGTTCCGAAACCAACGCGTCCGCAATGCTACGAACCGCGGCAAAACATCCATCCAATCGCGTCGTCAGTCTCGCGGTCGCCCGGGCGCGTCGTCTCCGGCGCACGCGTCGCGTCGTCATCGTCCACCGCCTCCTCGTCGTCGTCAGCGCGCACGAACGTACGAACGAGTGGCACACGTTTGCATTCATTCATTCATTCATTCATTCATTCGCGTCGTCGTCTCGTCGTCGTCGTCGTCGCCGTCGCGAACGCACCTCCCAGCGCGCGCCCAGAACCCATCATCGTCGTCATCCGCGTCGTCGTCCATCGCACGACGCGTCGACGTCGACGAATGCGGCGCGCGAGGATGACTTTTCAAATATTGTGCACGCCGAGCGACAGACCGCGTCGCGCGACGCCCTCGAATGGCGTCTGCGTCGCCCGCGCCCGCGTCGCGCGCGTCGCGAGCGAACGGGTGGAACCCCGCGCGCGTGGGGTCGACGCGAGGGCGTCCACGGAGGACGGTGCGCGAGCGCGCGCGCGTCGAACGCGCGTCGAAGACGATTCGTGGCACCGCGTCAAACGATGGATTCGCCGTCGGTGACGACGACGTGCGCGTCTTGGACGCGCGTGAACCGGTCGATCCCGACGAACGATTGATTAATGATGATTTAGCGCCGGTGACGGCGCGTGAGAGGACGTTTACGACGAAGGATGTCGCGGCGTTGTGGGTGGGCATCGTGTGTTGCGTCCCGGCGTGGACGTTGATTTCATCCGTGTGCGCGATCGGGTTCTCGGCCGCGGAAGCGATGACGACGATCGCGATCGCGAACGTGATCGTGTTGGCGCCCATGGTGGCGAACGGGTACGCG